TATACCACCTGCAATCTGTATGCATACAGGTGGTTATGTGTGATTCACCGGTTAGAAAAACCAGTAGTATCCACTAAAACAAAACGGAACCTCCCCCGTCTTAATAAGGCGTCGCAGGATCGCTTACGCACTTAACCTACTAAACTACTGAACCTAGCTTAACCATTTCCCTGTCCCATGAGTCATATATGAACATTTCGATTGTTTAACTATTGTGTCTATTTTGCGGATAGTTAAGTTGTTAATATTACTCTAACTAAAAAAATAAACCTACTTCAAAATAATGCACCAAAGTTATGTTCATCCTCTAAAATAAATAAAATTAAGTACATTTTCAAATCAACAGCGATCATGATTGCTGTAAAGCATTCGAAACGTCGGGAACCAAAAATTAAAGTAAATTCGCGAAAAATCCGAGAAGAGTTTTTTTTAAATGTCAAATATTCGCATAAATCTTATATTAGATAGTAAGTTTTATGATGAAATATTCAATATTTTATGGAAAATTAATTAAATACCAGCTCTCTCTCTTTGCTCAGAAGTTGGCCGAAGGGGCCGAAACTGGTTAGAACGATATTATATGCAAACTGCGATCTGTCTCTACTTTGCTGCATTATAAGAGTTTAAAAGTAGCTTGTGAATATGTATGGATGTTATTCACGCCAGAAAGGCTAAACGAATCTGGATGAAATTTGACACAGAGATAGATTATAGTCTGGAATAACATATAGGTTACTTTTATCCCAAAAAATATACGGTTTCCGAGGGATAAATTTATTTCTGTTTTGCTAGAAGCGAACCCGAGCGAAGCGAGGATGAGTCGCTAGTTAATAATATTACTAAAAATTATTAAGTACTAGCAAAAATAAGATTTAACAAAGTTTTGTACAACAGCTGTCATGTATAAAAAAGTATCATGAGAGCTATTAATTAAAATAACTACTGTGGAACTGGAGAGTCGCCAAGTTCATTTTGCTTAACCCAATGGTTTGTATTGCAGATATTAAAGCTGACACTGCTTTCTAAGAAGACTATGAAATTTTTATCAAGCTTTCTTTAAATATAAAATCAAATAAGAAGCTTGAAATTTTAAGAATTGAACTGTAACACTATATAATACAAAAGAATTGTTTATAGCTTCTATTAGTTTTTAAAGTAGCTCTGAAGAAAAGATAATAATTATTTTTATTATATAATACGATAAGAATATAATATTGAAATACGAATTACTTCAATAATTTATTTTTAATTACTTATTACTATACGATATAATATAGATAAATACTCCTTGTACACATACATTCTTTTGATGTATCTCTAAAAGTTTAGCCAGCGTGACCCTCTTATTCGTACAAAAACGGATTTTTTTGACAAAAAATTTCTAGAATCAGTCATTTAGTACAAAATATTTACAAATTATACACATAAACCTTACACGTTTGTCGCTCTTTCTATTAGTGAAAATCGTATCTAAATCCGTTGAGTGGTTTAGAAGAAACAAGCGGAGAAACAAACAGATGCAGACTGACTTTGTTTTATACTATGTACGTTTGGCCATATATATGTTTAACAGGTTTCTAAATAGACATACTTATACTTAGCATTAATGGTAAAATCGAGAGGGTTGTTAACCTTAACAGTAATCCGATGCGCGGATCTGACGATATATATCATCTCCCACTCCGTTAAAAACAGATCCCTATGACGGAATATCATTAAAAATAGAATATACCGTGAGGGGAATATAGTTTATTTCTAACGATACAACATATAGCATGGTACTATCCAGTATTTAAGGATACGTTACACGAACTACTATCAGATTTCGACACCATACTTATTTTGTATTGCCTGGTTTTAGTTAACTCCAAAATATCTGACCACCTATTTATAATGAAAGTCACGATTTATTACTTTAACATAAGTGACTCTCTCGTCAGTCTAGTGTATAGCCTGTACAGTTGCAGATTTAGGGGATCCGTGACTCTACCCGGGCCAAGTATAGTTATTGGGATTTTCTATCAGGAAATAATTACAGCCTGGAGTAAGGAAGTTTGCGATATTTTACTCCCGTACCTCGAAAAGCACGTAAAGCCGTCGGTCCTGCGCCTGATCTCTTACCGGTCGTGTCGATTATCGTTCCATTGGAGTTGGAGGTTGAAAGGAATAGAGAGTGCGCTTGTATTTTGCATATAATAATAATAATAAATTTTATTTCAAGTAACTTAGACTCATATTTTGTTATTATACAAAGTCCTTATATTCTATGTTAGTACTTACATTCTAGATACATTTTAGATACATATACATATACTTTTACATTCACATATATACCCTATACACATGGCTAGTTACTGAAAATGGCCAGGAGGACATTAATAATTACTTTTAAGTTCAATAAGGGTGTATTATTAAACAGAATTTATTTATAACTAGCATTGCCCGCGGCTCCGTCCGCGTTCAGATTACCAAAAACCAAATTCTTAGGTTTTACATATTAGTATACTCTCACAATGCAGTTTTTGTATTTTTCTCAGAAATGAGATATATTTTCCCGCGGTAAAAAGTATCCTATATGTTGACCTGGATAATCAGCTAACATCATATCAAATTTCATCAAAATCTGTCCAGCGGTTTTCTCGTGATGTGGTAACAGACAGACAAAAATTCTAAAAACTATAGATTCGGGCTCTGTATCAATAATAATGTCTATTTCAATTAGATTTTCCAAAAAATATTTAATGTACAGATTCGACTTAGTTACAATTTTATTATATGTATAGATGAACCTTTCATTTTAACATTAAATTTCTGATATCCAAAATTTCACACTATGTAAGTATCAAAATTTTCCTTTAATAAAAAGAGTAAATAAGATTTTTTTACATACGCTTGGTATAAAGCTTCTTAGAATATATGTTTATGATAAAAATCAGTACAATTTTTTCTGACAATTTTCAGGAATTTCATTTTTAAATTCTTTTTTTTATGAAAGAAAATTGTAGTTTTTTTGACTCTCAGTTCTGCTCATTTTTATTATAAATATTATGATTCCAAAGGTATAATAATAATATTTTGTTTGTCTTTATGGTTATTTGTCTTGGTTAAAACTAAAACGGCTGAACGGCATATAAGACGACTGCACTGTATTTTTTATAATCGGCCTAGAACAAACATAGGTCTTTTTCGTATCATATAGAGTAAAATCTAACAAAATTTCATCTTCTATCATCTTGATACGTAATATAGGTTATATTTTATAAATATAACCTATCTTACAATAAAAGTTTTCGTAAAATCTGTTTATCACTTTCATAAATGGTTCTATTTAAATTTTGGCTTTTATTTTATTATTCTTTAAATAATAATAGAATAGTTCAGCGTATATTTTATTAAATAATAATAATAATAATAATTTATTTTACTATATAAAGTGACAATATAAAGGGTTAAAGTAAAGCAATTTAGATGCAAGCAGTTTAGATATACAGACGGACTGACGGGCAGAGATGGGAGAACGAAGTCATAAAGGTTCTTGTATTTGTCTTTTAGCTATATAACTCCAAACATACAATGCAAAATTATATCTTGTACTACGTTTACAAATTCTTGCCGTTTTAACTTATTTATCTTAACATTTAGTTGCTAAAGTGAACTAGAAACTTACGACTAATATTATTTCAAGCTCCGGACATCTTGTTAGAACTCGTTATAAAATTCGCCAACTCAAGGAACTGTACCGCTAACTGGTGGTGAAATATATCTATATATAAGTATATAAGTTAGGTTTGTACATAGCTTTGTTTTATATTTTTTATTATAATATAATAATGATTGATCGTATGTTTGTCCTCCTTCGTACGTTCCTAAAACATTGATTCTATTGTGATGAACTGGTGGGTTATCCTACATACTCCTGCAAATATTTAAAAAAAAAGAATTTTCTTTGGACGTTTGTCTTATATGCGTTCATAAATTATTCAACCTTAAGAACATACCCGAGCGAAGCGAATATTAATGAGACTATTATTATAAATGCAAAAATTTGTATGTGTGTATGTATATTGTATATTATGTATGTTCGTTACTCCTTCGCGCTGAAAGAGCTGGTTGAATTTGGGTGAAACCGTCATTTTTATCTTTACAGTAATCTAAGGCAATCTTTTCAAATTACAGCTTAGAAAAGCTTTTGTAGTTCATATACTTAAGTAGTAAAGTAAAAAGTAAGTAGATAAAATAGTGTGTTCACGAGGCTTCACGTAAGTATTTTTTAAATTACTACCAGAACACAGGGCTTCACCCGCGTTCAATCTACAAAAATAAACTCTATTGCTGTATTATATAATATTATCTATACATATAATAAAATTATAACTAAGTCGAATCTGTACATTAAATATTTTCTAATTGAATCTAAAGAAAAATCTAATTGATATAGACATTATTATCGATACAGAGTCCGAATCTATAGTTTTTAGAATCTTTATCTGTCTGTCTGTCTGTCTGTTACCGCATCACGAGAAAACCACTGGACAGATTTGATGAAATTTGGTATGATGATAGCTGGTTATCCGGGTCAACATATAGGGTACATTTTACCGCGGGAAATTATCTCATTTTTGAGAAAAAATACAAAACTGCATTGTAAGAGTATACTAATATGTAAAACCTAAAAATATGCTTATTGGTCACCTGAACGCCGGCGGAGCCGCGGGCAATGCTAGTGTATTTATAAAATATTAAATTATTTGGATATTGATATACGAGTACTACTAAAATCACGATTAAAAAATGGAGGGTGGGTGTAGGAGAGTGAAAAATAATTTACGACTTATTCTTATATTACCAAATATACAAAAAAACATTAAAATCGGTCGAAGGGTTTCGGAGGAGTGCGACCACAAACATCGTGACACGCGATATTCATATATTAAATTTATTTCAGCATTTAAATAATTATATATTTAGTCACTTTCTAAATGTTTATTATTAGCCGATTAACTTCGTGTCTTAAATCTCAACCAATGTCCACCTTCGAGAATTACGTTAAAGGACTCTTTTGAAATTTTTGCAGGAAGACAAGTCTTTGATGATATCGAAATTTCCATATGTAATAGAATCTGATACAGCAACACTTTTAATTCACAAAGAGCAAATCTTGATCCTGAAAAAACAATTATATTATTTAAAAATAATTTTTAACTTAATTTATTGAAACAAAATTTCATTTTAAACTAATAAATATGTATATATTTTCAGGCCGTGGTAGCCTAGTGGTAGCGCGCTTGCTTGGGAAACCGAGTGAAGCGGGTCCAAATCCCGGATCTCGCATCTCTGATATTTACATGTGCGAATCAATTCCAACGTATGATTACCAATTGCCTTATGGCGAAGGAAAACATCGTGAGGAAACCTGCATATCTGAGAGAACTTAGTAAGTTTTCGAAATATATGCGTAGTCCGCCAATCCACACTTGACCAGCGTGGTGGACTATGGCCTGATCACCCTCGTATCGACGAAAGGCCCGTGCCCAGCAGCGGGACATTAAAAAGGGCTAAATACAATAAAATATATTTTGATTTTTATCCCAATTTTACATTTAAGATTTTATTTACTTAGCAATAATATTAAAATTTCTATTTCCATTTATAGAATTTAAGTAGAATAATTTATTCAGAAGCAACTATTTTAAAATAAATTTATTCTACATTTAAAAGTATTAATGTACTGACCTATACAATTTCTTGGACCAACTCCAAAGGGCATATAAGCGAGAGTGTTAATATTTTTCTTGTTATCCTCAGAAAACCTCTCAGGGTCAAATTTTTCAGGATTTGGGAAATAATTAGGATCACGATGGAAGGACCATACAGGAATTGAAAGATTCTCGCCTTTTCGAATCTGAAAAAGTTAATTTTATTTAAATTACTTTCACTATTTTGTTTTCTTAATTACAACAAAAACAAAATGTCAGAAAAGAAAAAAAACATTATCTTTAATAATGATTAATAATGATCCCTGTATCGAAAATTACAACGTTAAATCATAGAAAACATGCACAGCTAAAAATCAAGATTGGTGGTACGATTTTACTACTTCACTAATGTTAGAAGCCGATTTTAATATACTATCGCATCAAATTGAAAATTTATACATTTGTATGTACATATGTATGTATAATCCGGATGATAATATAGTAATTTAATGACATAGAACTACTCTGATGATGGAATAATGAGATGCATACTAGTATTCTTAAACGACAACTAGCAACCTTTGAGTTTGAGCTCGTTACGTTGATCAAAAGAGTATTCATTTGTAATTTAAAGATCATATTTTTATCCGTTTTATCATAAATAAATAATTTGAACAATATGGGTTTATAAGATAAATAATGATTTGTGGACTATAAGATTGTAAGATAATATAAATTTTACTTACAATATAGTCTTTAGTGGATTCACTGCTAGGTTTTCCCAAGTTATAATCTTTTACACAAAGCCTGTCCAAGACGAGACCTGGTGGCCATAGCCTAAGAACTTCTATAGTAATAAAAACACGATTAGTAAAATAAAGAAATCGACCATATACATGTCTGAAAGCTGGGTAAATCATTACCTGATGTTACCATATCCATGTACACCATATTTGAAATTGAATTAAAGTCCAATTTCCCACCGTTCTTATTGTGATGCTGTTTGATCTCCTGGACCAAACGGTCTTGAATGTCAGGGTGAAGAGCTAATTCGTGTAATGCAAATGACATCGCCGTAGAAATAGTCTCAAATCCTGCCATGAAGAATAAAACCGCCTGGGCGACAAGATCTGTATCCGACCACACTAAACAAATATGTATTAAAATCAATAATTTAATTCGTTTTTATTATTTATAGTTTTAGCGGGACATTTTCGTGTAATGTACTTTGTAAATAAGTAACTGTTCCAATAAAAAAATCTTACTCAATAAATGCTGCCAAAGTGGTTGACAATGGTAAACAAGAAACGGGTTCAAATCCCGGGACTCGCACCTATGATATTTTCATTTGCGAGTCATTTACAACATGATAATCACTTATGGCGAAGGAAAACATCATCAAAGTATGGAAACCTGCTTATTTGAGAGATCCCATAAATTTTCGAAAGACATATGAAGGTCTGATCCGATGATTGAAGGGAGGCCTGTGCCCAACATTGGGACGTTAAAAAAGTGGCAAAATACAGGGCAAATATATAATTTATAAAAAATTCAAAAGAAGTAATAAAATAATAAATATATCGATATAGTTAAAGATAAAATTGATAAGGAATTAATTGTCTAATACAAACCCCTTTCAATAGATTTTTTGCCCAAATCAGATTCTTCAACAGTAGCGAAACCAGTGTCACTGCCATGGCTTTCTTTTTCATCATGTTTTAATTTACCTATAAAACCATATATTCAATGAGTAAAGTACTATTTGAAGAATAGAACATCATGATTTATTTGTTTAATTATATTATAATTTACTCCTCTCAGTTCTAGTCCATTGCTTATATGGTAGATGATCTGTAAATGAACTCGTATAGGCGACTAAAATAAACAAGTCGATAATTTTATAGAATATATGTATACAAATAAATAGACAAATTTGAATGCTTTTTAACATAACATAAAAAAAACAAATTGGTCAGCTATAAAAGACTAATATTTATAATGATTACATTTTGTCCCGTAGCTTGGAACGAATGCAGGATACGAAAATTAACCTATATGTTTAGAATTTCAATCCAGAATATAAATTATCTCCATTTCAAACATCGTTTTAATAGTTTTAGAACTGTTACAGCGTGAAGAACATAGCGTGTAAGATCGTTATTGCATTGAAATAAGCTAGAAGCTATCACTTTATCACGTACATATTAGACTTAATACGTGAATCTAGTAAAGGCCATCAACAAAATCAGTAGACATTATATCGGGTTGTGGCCTCAGTTTCAGACTACCCATTAAGACCAAAACGTTGCTAACAGAGCTCCTAAATGATAGGCAATTTTAGCTAAGTCGTAGTGATCGTGGAGAATTAAGGGTAGTACCGATTTATGTAACTTCGGCAACATGGCAAATATTGCTTCTGCAGATTGTACGATAGATGTACATTTTACCTTACAAATAGGAAAAATATTTTAAAGACCAATAAAATTTTTAAACTTTAGAGGCATTTGGAAACTAAAAATATCGGTTGAAATTATACAGGTTATAATATTCTATATGGAATTTAAAATAACATAGAATATGACATGGATAAATCATCATTAAAAGATATCTCTTCCAGTCCATCTATGTATATATTATCTGGAAATCCTAAGAACAAACAAGTAACATTTATAATAATTACAGATAATATATATTATATTATTATTAATAAAATATTAATTAGAAAAATAGATTTTAATTCTCAAAAGTCTAAGGAATTATGTAGCACCATATATTTTGGTATATACACCATGTAAAGTGTAGAGAAAATCCCTATATTTTTCTATTTTCAATACTTAATTCTATTACATTATACTTAGTTCCATTTGAATACTGATAGTGTACAAACCTTTCTTGGCTTCCATAAGTAAATGTATCATATCCGGTCTGACGATGCTGTGAGCGTCACGATCTTTCATTGTATTTAAAACGATATCCATAAAAAAATATTTTGTTTTGTTATCAAATATTGACAAATTAAATTTCTAAAAATTTTAAATTCCATAAAATTCATTCAAAATTGTAATATAAATAATTTATAAGTTAATTAAGCTACTAAGTCGAATTTTAGAAATTAGAAAAAATTGTGTAAATTTCTTTAAAAAAACGTCACTACGTTCTTATTTATGGTTCTATAAAGGTTTTTTGGGACCGACTAAATAAAAAGTAAGGTATTTAAGGGATAGAAATGATGAAAATACTTCATTTTCCCTTAATCATCCATTAAATAGAGTAAAATGTTTTTTTACCATGTTTCATTTAATATAATCTCAGTTTAAGTGATTAGTCTACGATTGTCTAAACAAATAAATGCTAAGATTTATTTGAAATAGATTAAATATCGTGATTAATAAAGTAAATAAGATAACACTTGCTTTGTGTACTTGTTAAAGTAATAATATCTTAAATTTTATCAATACTCCTAGATAAGTTATATGTAAACAACTTAAAATATTACGTAATATTAGTTTCACTATCAGATAATAGTACAGATAGAAAAAAAGTAATTTCAATACATACTACCATATAAAATACATCGAAATTCGAACTCCATTCAAGTCTCCATAATTCTCTATTTGTTAATCTTTAACATTGTGAAATAATAATGATTTACTTAAAAACGTAATTTATACCTTTTATCAACTTATATATTCTATTTTATCACTTTACTAACCTTTATTATTCTAGGAAAGCTGGATCCCAAAAATGCTAATAATATTTGTTTAAAAGTAAAATTTGACGCAGCTTTCCCCATTTCGTAAAACTCATTATTTTCATCTGAATGTGAATCGACTTTTATACCGAATGCACAAGATGCAATCACATCGTTTGCATATCGTCGTGTCAAGTCCTTGCAATCGACTTCGATGTATTCATCTGAAATTAATGATCAAAAAATCTATCATTTGGCTTCATCCACATTCTGAATTTAATGAGATAAGTAAAAAGTCTATAGGGAATATGCTTGAGATATAAATAAACATAAAATACTCTTTTTTATAATCTTTATTATTTTCGAATTAAGCCTACATGAATATTTGTTAATGTAATTTCTTTTTGATTAAGAAATAATTAATACTTTCTTAGATTTACGCGAATATTTGACATTTAAAATAAAACTATCTTTTCGGATTATTTCGCGGATTTATTTGAATTTTTGGCTCCCGACGTTTCGAATGCTTTACAGCAATCATGGTCACGGGAGAGACTGAGGTGTTAGATGTCTCGAAGGCATAGTTGTTACAGACAGCCTACCCACAAATAACAAAATGAAAATTGCACTAATTACCTTACAATATTTATTAACTTTAAACATTTTTATAATTTTAATTAGTTTTATAATTGAATATGGAATATTATTTATTTAATTTTTGCTGTTATTCTTATAATTATAAGTAATTGGTGCAATTTTCATTTTGTTCAAATTGTTTCAAGACATGTAACAACTCAGTCTCTCCCGTGACCATGATTGCTGTAAAGCATTCGAAACGTCGGGAGCCGAAGATCAAAATATCCGCGAAATAATCCGAAAAGATAGTTTTATTTAAAATAAGAAATAATTATTAAAAAGTGCAAAAGCAGGTGGGAAATTTAAAGTAGTTAAAACGAACGCCATTGATCAGGCCGAATGTGACATCAGAGTATATCATAACTGAGCGATTGGCGATTTTGTCTCGCTACAAATTATTGAGTATTTTTCATATATATTGAGCATTTTACATTTTTCTATGTATGATACTACATGCTATATTATACTATACTATATGTGTATACTACATGCTCGCGCTGGCCTCTATAAAAACAAAAACAAATCTTTCCGACGGGAACTGTACATTTTTCGGGGATAAAAAGTGTTATTCTATCTCTGTGCTAAATTTCATCCGGATCCGTTCAGCCATTCTGGCGTGAACCCGTAACAAACATCCATACATGCCTACTCACAAACTTTCACATTTATAACATTAGTATGGATTGGTATAGATTATTGTACAAATTATAGGGGTTAATTATTTGAGAAAAATATACCGCATAATTTATATCGAAAAGTATGAACAAAAACAATAAAAATATAGACGTCAATACACCGTACAAATAGTATATTATAAAATATTTAATAACGAAATATTATAATAACAAACATTACCATCAGTTTCAGTAATCTTTTTCTTCAAAGCTCTAATCATTTGGTCGCCAACTTCCTCCATGAAAGGTACCATCAACTTTATTTTGGAGCTTGTGAAAGCTGGACTTAAAGTTGACCTCATATCTTTCCATTCCTGTCCTGAAATACAAGTTCTATAGAACTTAATATTATTATATAGAACTTAATATAATATTTACAATAGTTATCAACAGTAAAGTCCTCACAAAGAGTCCGTACACAGAAAATATTGCAAAAATAGTTATCTATCTCTGTGAAAACTAGAATTTTATGATGCACTCGATAACTTAATTTTATGATAACAAAAAAACTAAAAGGATGCCAAATTATCTTTTAAAGAGATAAGATTTCTTCCAAACAGCGGTTCAATTTCTTCATTGGTCACAGTGCGGTGATCAGTAAAGTGCTCAAAATCTTTAATGGCTATCTTCTTCACCAAATCTAAATCACGAATAAGTAGTACTGGTTTCCAAAACTCATATCTACCTGTGAATCTGAAAAATGAAAATGGTTAAAATACTCCAACGACTAACATTATTAACTTATATCTTTTAAATCTGTATGTAACAATCATTTCAGATTAGCACATATAAGAGATAATATAAGTCCTCTGTAATCGCTATGTTTATGTGTTTGATGGACGAACCTAAATGAGCAAATGAATGGTGTTCATGCACTTTTAGTATAAGTGGATAACATTTTAATATTTGCTATTAGTAAAATCTATAACTAATCTATAAACTTAGCAAAAAAATATTGATTACTTTTTTAGTGTAAATGTAAAATTGCTAGTTTAATTCTAAGAAATCTATTGTTAACTGACACGCCGGCGTGTCCGCGGTCGTGGAGGGATTAACGCCCAACAGTCGTCAGACCAAGCGATGTTTATCTAATAATAACTAACTGATTATCAACAAAACCACCAAATTCGATCAGTGGACATCAACATTTATATATGTAATCCTATAGAATTTTTTTTGAAATGTTAAATTAAGGTGGCTAAATTTAAATGATAAAAATGATTTATTAGGCCAAATTCTCTTGAAATACTAGGCTATTCATATATAAAAACATCATATATACCTTTCTCCAGAAAAAGAATTATAATTTGCATCTATATCATCAGTAAAGCTGTCCAGCCGAAAAATAAATCTATGCAAATTTCCCAATATTGGCACTATCTTTTTACATTTTACGTTGAAGTCGCTGAACCTTGAGTATTTTCTTCTTAAATATAGAGAGATTAGAGCTACATGTACTCCAACCCATATCAATATTAAAAACATAATCTGTAAAAAAACACAAAGACTGAGTTCAAGCGTGAAATACAAATGATAAATAGTGTCTTAGAATAATAAATATTTTTACGAGTTCTGAAGTAAATTTTACTAAAAAAACTAAAATATTAGATTTGACCAACTTCAATTCGTGATACCTGAAAACGAACTCAAACTCAAAAAGAAAAGTGTGGTGTCGTGGGACACCAAATAGGAACGATTTTCCTTATTACATAAATATTAACTTCTAGTTCTGGTCTTGGTAAAAAGAAAATAATTATTCGGGTATAAATTTTTTATTATGATTTTTTATCGTTACAAATCAAAAAATTTACAAAATTATCTCAACACTTTTATTTTGTTCACAATGATTCATAAAAATATATAATAATAATAATAACAGTCATCACGTAGACTATATATTAGACACTGTATAGCGAACACACATCAACTATACGTAAAAATCTTACTCCACGCATTTTCGTTACTGACACTTTTTGCCGGCACCCCTCCGCATCGTCCCACTTCCGCATCGTCACACTTAATTCCAAAAACTAGTATATTCATTTGAATAGTTGAATAATACAGCCACTATCTTCTCGCTCCGATCAACTTCATGATATCAAACGTCTTTATTGTCATCCTGACTTCAGTACCTTAGTTTTCGAATAGATACGGCTATTAGAAGCAGGACTAAAATCGATTTCTAAGAGTTAATTCTAACGATTTCATTTGCTTCTATTATTAACTGACAATATTGTCTGAAAAAGTTCTTAATCCATATTTTTAATATTATAAATGTAAAAGTGTGTTTGTATGTTTATTTGTTTGTCCTTATTTCACGTCCAAACGGAGTGACGCGTTGGCGTGGTTTTTTGTGTGGATATATTTGGAGGGATGAAGGAGAATATCTAATTGTTACGGGAAAACACGTTATAATACAATCCAAAAAAATATGATCAGAATTACTTGAAACTTGGGACTAATACTCTTCAATAAAATTAAATAAATATGTGTTTTAACATTCTTCGAGATTAATCCTATAAGGGCGTAAAATAGGGGATGAAAGTTTGTATGAAACTACCTTTTTAGAGATTTTCTCTTGTATTTTTTTTTCACGATTTTTTTTTGCCGGGTCAGCCAATAATATAGTCACGGGAAAGAATAAGGTTTTTGACAAAAAATAAATAATTTAGCATTTTGTACTTAGCGGCTTTATGTAAAGCAGGAGTCATTATGCCAGACTAAACCTATCTCGACTCAGATTTAACTTGACACAATAGTTAAATGAGCCTATGTAAGCCTTTTCATACATACAGTAAAGTATTATAATTTTTACAATACTTCTTGAATTTTGACAATTTGTTATTCGTCACTTGATTCTTCTATTTATAATAATATATAATTATTTTTTCTCACAAACATGTTTACAATTTCTAGGAAAATTATCTTATCTACAGATACAACAAACTAATGTAACAAGAATTTTTCTAAATAAGATCATATCTCTTCGCTGTCTGCATCCGGGGCTTGATTTCGTGTATTTTTCCCCCAAACTTTATTTAAAGAAATAATATAATAAATATAAAAATAATAACACAACAGAAAAGTTAAAGCAAATAACTTACCATGTTTTATAATATTATTATAACTTTATTAAATAAACTTTATTCACTCAAACGTTTCGATTTACCCATGTGTTTCAACATACTAAGTGTAGTACGCGCCAAATCTGTGATACCTTATCTAGCAACACCGAGATTATAAACAAAACTAATTTATCACCAAATATCATTTTGTATTTTTATAGTATTTGCTGTATTATTGTTACGTTAGACAGAGGATGCACCTGACATGGCTTCAACATATTTTGTATACTTCTCAAAATAATGAAAAAAACCTATAAATATAATAAAATCGAATCTGTATAAATTACTTAAATATTTTTTGGAAAATGTTATTGAAATAGTCATTATTATCGATACAGAGGCCAAATCTATAGTTTTTAAAAATTTTGTCTGTCTGTGACCGCATCACGAGAAAACCACTGGACAGATTTTGATGAAATTTGGTATAATGATAGCTGGTTATCCGGGTCTCTAAGAAATCTATACTAAACAACGTTAAAACGTAGTTAGGGACAAACCCGAGCGGAGCGAGGGTGAATCACTAGTCTATAGATATAGGTAAATAAAACGGAAGTATCTGTAAATGGATAAAATAATTCTGTTTTCTCAAGTACATAAAGTTATTTATATGATACCAGCACTTAAACAACACTATTTTAAATTTTCTATCTATCTATCTGTCTGTCTGCCTTATACTGAGACTTTCACTGAAAGTGAAGGAGTTTGTTCGGCTACATATTATGGGCGATGCCGGAAATATTTAGGGTTAAAGCGCGATTATCGAAAACCCTTAAAAATTACGCAAAATTTAAATTAACAATTTCAAGAAAAAGACTTCGATTATTTTTATCTATGGAAAACGTACTTATGGACGTAGGTGTCCGAGGGTAAGTAACGAGTAATTTTTTTTTTAATAACGCGCCTATCGATAAATATATCATTTTGTTCTGTATAGAGCATTATGCTTTATTTAACAGGCGCTTTAATGTAGGTTAATTTCGAGATTATTTATTTTATATTATATTTCAATATATCTTTATATTACACCTTTCTTTATGAGAAATATTGTCAATCATTTCACTTCTTAATAAAAGTAGGGATACACATTGCATGACTTCTATACGCGATTTCACAATATTTTACAAGACAAGAATTCGTTGTTATTGATTAATAATTTCAACTTAATATATTTTAATACTTTCTTAGATTTACGCGAACATTTGACATTTTAAATAAAACTATCTTTTCGGATTTTTTCGCGGATTTATCCAAAATCTTAATAAATTCGCGAAATAGTCCGAAATGATAGTTTTATTTAAAATGTTAATATATATTTTTAAATACTCAGACTTAACTTAAATTTTTAAAAAACCTTTTTAACTAACCAAAGGTACAATTTTGACCTTAATATTATTTTGAAAATAATTATTTCACATATAGAGGTTGAATTTCGCAATGGTACGGCTTCGAAAGTAAAAATAAAAAGAAAATACACGTACAAAAAATAAACACTCAACCCCTTTCATCTCCTAGAAATCTATTGAAAGTCAATCAAAAAGTAAGGCAATATTATGAAATTATAAAGAAATGTTAAGACTGAGTTATGAAATGGCGTGACTCACAAACGAGCTGTAATGTTTTCTTTTTATCATATGCCTTGGCTTAGATTAACTTCAAAGACTCTGTTACACGGTATACCATTCCATAGTAATATTATGAAATACTAGCTTTTGAGAGCGGCAAGTGGGAGATCAAAGGTCGTATGTTTGTCTCCAGGATGCAATTTATGTCTTTGGTAAATTATATCGAAATCTGTTCAGTAGGTTAAGCGTGAACAGATAACAAAGTTAATAAATAATAGTGTCGTTCTGACTGATGTGAGCCACAGAAGTCATGTAATGAGACTAGCTATAGGGCAACAAGTATTTGTGCAAACACAGGCGTACTCTTTATTCATCAGCCGGGAGGACATCAGTCATTATCATATAAGTAGGTTCTTTTAAGAAACACTAGACGCTTCAGTATTGACTAGAAATGGAAATATACAGTAACATAGAGTATTTAAGAATATATTTCTAAATCTTAATTAATAAGTTGTTAATATTTTCGGATTAAGGACAAATTTAAAAAGTAAAATGAAATAGAGATTCATTTAAAGCATAGTTGTTTCAATTATTTTATCTATATCTTAACATTTGTTTGATTTCCTTTAATAATTAATTGTTGATTTTAAAAAACCCCCTACGCAAATTAATTGTCACTAAACGATTACACTGGCACGCGTGAAGCACTTAATCGAGTAATCATATACCAAAATGCCTTACATCATTTTGGAAAAGAGCTGATACTCTTACACTACTGGACCGATATTAACCAAACATAGCTAAGAACTATCGCAAGGAAACTGGCTTTCAAATGAAAAAAACCGCATCGAAATCGGTACATCCGTTTGTTCGAAATTCACCCGTCGGGAGTTAAAAAACAGAAAACATCTCCAAATAAACGTAATTACTTTTACAAAACAACAGATAAACTTGATTTATTACATGGCGCTTCGAAAAAAAATGCCACATTTTTTTTAAGATAATCATTATTGCAAAATCTAAAAATATACCTAACATACGTAGATGCGTTTGTTTACTATAATTTTTTATGAAAACATCCGTGAGATAAGTGTTTTGATAATTAAATACTCGTGTGAAGTGCGAATAAAGCGATAAGTCAAAATATAAATTAGCTGTTCTGCCGAGTGTCTCGCGCTGAGGACACGTTCTGAGCTCCTGCTTACTTTGTTACATACTCCTGTTACGATTGGTGCTATTAGAAATAATCAGTGTATAGAAAAATTGCATTGTAAGTTCTTTTTTATATTATACATATATTATTAAAAATATATCTAAGGCATTCAAAGAAAACAAAATGGATCCGCGAAACAATTCAAAAAGATTTTTGAAGAGTGTTATATGAAATGTCAAATGTTCGCGTAAATCTGAGAAAGTATTAATAAATATTAATTTTACTTATTTATTTACTGAAACTTTTTAGGAAGTGAGTGCTTAAAATTTCATTCACATATTGTTTAGAATTTTAGTAAACATCTATCAATACTACAATAAAATTCTGAATCGAATCTGTACATTAATTCAGTTCCTTATTTAATGGTTTTAATATCTGTACATTAAATATTTTTTTGGTCGATTTTTAAATCGATACAGAGGCCGAATCTATAGTTTTTAGAATTTTTGTCTGTCTGTCTGTTACCGCATCACAAAAAACCACTGGAGGGATTTTGATGAAATTTGCTATGGTGATAGCTGGTTATCCGGGTCAACATATAAGATACTTTTTCTGCGGAAAAATATCTCACTTTTGAGAAAAAATAGAAAAACTGCAATGTGAGTGTATACTAATATGTAAAACCTAACAATTTGGTTTTTGGTCATCTGAGCGCGGGCGAAGCCGCGGGCAATGCTAGTTGTTAATATATTATTATTTCCAATATTTTATAGAAGTAAATTATTTGCACGACAAACACCTCTACATTAAGCAAACCAATATTTACGCGTATATTTATTTCTTGCACGTGTCTATACTTACACTAGTCTCGCCCTGGATTAGTTTAGACCCTAAGTGAGTGTCTGTCGTTACTCGTTAATATACATACATATATATACATCGTGCATATATTCCACGGGACTTTTATAAATTCACAAAATAAACAAAAAACCTGAAATCTTTCACTTTTATTGCAATACTTAGATATAAAAAGTGTTATTATAAAATGAGCAAGGGCGAACATCACTCATTTAAGAATAGTATATACATAACACCTTAGATTATATAAATAATCTAAGCATAATAAATATGTATTATGTATAATATATATGTGCATAATAGTATATATTGTATACTATGTACATAGTACGACGTTGACGACACGTTTGGCTCAGTTTGTAGTGACCCTGCTTGCTGTGTCAGCGGTCTCGAGTTCGAGTCCCGCGGGGGTATTCATTTGTGTGATTCAAGCGCGAATGTTTGTACTCGAGTCATGGGTGTTTATTTTTATTATATATATATTTAAAGTTATATATGTGTAGTGTATCAACTATCTGGTATCCATAACACAAACCTCGTAGCTTACCGTGGAACTAGATGGCGATGTGTGTTACTGTCCTAACAAAAAAAAAGATTACATATATATACATCATATAATTATATGATACATAGATCGTTTAATTCAGTACAAAGTATACATAACAATGATGATATCGTTATGATACAGTCTAAATCCTTAATAATGATCGCTGTGGCCTTCAAGCTATACAATGATGAATCTGAAATTAAAAATTTAAAAATGCTCTACAAAAACCTATTGATGGCGATGTGATTTTTTTTTGATGTGATTTACATTAAGGTAATTTCAATGAGCCTAGAGAATATATCTCTGCAGTATTTTAGTAGAGAGTTGAGTATTACCCTTTTTGCGTTGGAGGTTTAAATCGAGTGTTTAAACAATCTAAATAAATAAAACACGTTACACGTCACGTTACACGTAAAAATAACTAAATAACAATATTAATGATTTTAAAGTGTAATGGAAAATGATATCTGTGAAAAACACATCTTTTTTTAGCTTTTGGCATAAAAGTAATTCGAGACTTATAATATAAAACGTACGAGTATATGTTAAATATATGTTTTTTAAATAGGTTTAACATTTTTTCTTATACAAAATGATAATAAAATAAATATTAAAAAATTACATACCATTCTCGTCTATGATGAGGCCCTAACTATATCACACACTACCGCCAGTAACTACTTCAAATACACTAACATCTCATGCCACTACTAATTCTGAATTAAAGTCCCCCCCGCACTGAGTTTATGTTTGTTTGGTCTAATCTCAGAAACTATTGCATCGATTTTCATACGGTTTTCACCTATGGAATATAATAAAGAATAAATTTATACATATAATAAAATTCTAACTGAGTCAAATATTTGCAGTGGTAGCCCAGTGGTAACGCGCTCGCTTGGGAAACCGAGTGAAGCGGGTTCAAATCCCGGGTCTCGCACCTCTGAGATTTTCATGTGCGAATCATTTCTAACATGATAACCTGCATGTCTTAGAGAACCTAACAAATTTTCGAAAGACATGTGAAGTCCGCCAACACGCACTTGGCCAGCGTGGTGGACTATGGCCTGATCCCCCTCTTGTTAAAGATAGGCCCGTGCCCAGCAGAGGGAAGTTGCAAAAGGGCTAAATAGATAAATAGAACTGAGTCGAATCTGTACCTACATTAAATATTTTTTGAAAAATCTTATTGAAATAGTCATTATTATCGATACAGAGGCTGAATCAATAGTTTTTAGAATTTTTGTCTGTCTGTCTGTCGCATCACGAGAAAACTGCTGGACAGATTTTGATGAAATTTGGTATTATGATAACCGGGTCAAAATGTAGGGTATTTTTTACTACGGCAAAATTTCTCATCTCTGAGAAATCTATACTAAACGTGAAGTAACTAATGTTTATATAAACAAACTAGTAATTTTATTATATATATAGATAGAGGTAGAGGAGATATTATAATTTATAAGTATATAAATAGGCGAAGACAAAACAGCTCACTTTTCTCCTCTGTTCGTCAACCGATTTTCATGCCACCAAATATTTTGGGAACGGTTAGTTTTTCTTTATATACGTAGATAGGTAAATCCTATACATATATGTTCTTCAAATTTTAAATAATGATGATGAATAATATTGACTACTAGTACAAATAAATAGAATGAAATATGATGATAGCAGTGAATTAAAAGAGAAAAAATCCAACCGTCTCGGAACTTCCGTAATACAATATGTACGAGTATATCTGTTTAGTTCACTGGTTACTGTACATAAAATTGACAAATAAACAAACACATTTATCATACACATGACATACTCTTTTCGATTTGCGTACAAATTTATTATAATTTGATGGCGCGCTTGGCTTAGTTTGTAGTAATCTTACTTGCTGTGCCAGCGGTCGCGGGTTCGAGTCTAGCTGGGGATATTCATTTGTGTGATGAGCAAGAATGTTTGTACTGCAGTCATGGGTGTTTATATTTATAATATGTATGTATTTAAGGTTATACATATGTACAACTATCTGGTATCTATAACACAAGCCTCGTAGCTTACCATGGAACTAGATGGTGGTGTGCATTAATATCCCAACGTATTTACTTAATATTTATTATTAATAAATATCACAAAGGCACGAAAGTATATGGGTATTATATACTCGCTCCCGGATGAAGATTAGGACTTTAGATACCTAAATGTGTGTTATCAGATAACGAAAAAGTGATTGAGCTTTAAATTCAAGAGCCACTTATCTATAATTATCTATTGAACTTTTCTAATGTTATGATTTCATTTTACGACGTTGTTTTTAATGTAAACAATTTTTATAAAATATTACGTTCAGTATTATATATGTAGAGACCTAGCGCCCAATTTACGATCCCAAAATCACTCTTTTGTAGGACTTTGTAGCTATAAAAAGTTTTTATTGAATATCATTGTTATTTAAAGATAATAATATTATAACAAAAAATTAAAGGCATCATTTTTTTTCTTATGCAGTTAGGTAAGCCGATATCAAAATAACTTTAAAGTAGGTATATTATATTATGATATGGTGCAATTTATATGAAGAATAACAAAAAATGTATCCCACGGGAACCGTACATTTTTCCGGGATAAAAGTAGCGTATGTATTATTCCAGACTATAAAATATCTCTGTGCCTTTCATCCAGATCCGTTCTGCCGTTCTGGCGTGATTGAGTAACAAACATCCAAACATCCATCTAAACTTTCACATTTATAATATTAGTAAGATAACTCTACGTTATATTTTCAATTCAAGTTGTAATCATTTTCAGTAGGGTGTTGTTGGCTTATAATTAACTAACAATTTTATCTAATCTTGACAGTCTATTATAACTTAATTGTTGTATCGATTTGAAAATCTGTTTGATATACGAATTACACAATAATAACAAAAATATTATATAGACACTTCCTGGTATACGTTTGAGTCATAATTGCGCATATGAAATAATCTCCATGCTAATATAATAATAAAGGTCTATCTATACAAGTTATCTGATAATGGTACCTGAAAATAACCAAAAATATTCTCATGATTAAACATTTTATACTTTAATTTTAATGGGTAATGATTAAGGAAATATACAGTTTTCGATTTTCTCGTTTCAATATGTACTAGTACAGTACAATTTAAAAAGAATACAAAACATGCAAAAATATATTTCAGTGTAAGGGCGGCCTTATCACTAAAATTGATGTCTTCCAGGCAAGCTATTAGAAAAAAACTCGTAGTGTTGCATGGATTATGGTTGGTCAGAAAAACCAGTATATAACATACTTAAAAGGTACATACTATAAATTACACACAATTTTACATAAATAACAATATAGACATACATAAATTTGTAACATAATATACGTATAAGTGTAAACAATATACATATGTATTCTGCAATAAATTTATATAGACAAGGCTTATGATAATCGCATGTAAATGCGCATTTGTACTTTTTACACAAACATATAACACAAATTAGGTATATATTGCATTTTAAAAGTAATACAGAAAATAAATAACACCAAAACTTAGTTAACTAAGGCAGTCTTATCTCTGAAAGAAATCTCATGGATGTGGAAAAAGATGACAGCGGGGCAATATAGTGCAAGAAATATATCATACACATATAGTTATACATATTATATTCATACTTATTAACATTATAAACGTGCAAGTGTGTTTGTTTATTTGTCTGTCCTTCGTTAACGTCGAAACAAAGTGACGAATTGGCGTGATTTTTTGTGTGGAGAGTTGGAGGGCTGGAGAGTTGCATAGGCTACTCTTTACTGCGGAAGATTAACGATTTTTTTTATAATACAACCTAAAATATTATTTATGAGCAGAATTACTTAAAACTTGGTATTAATGCTCTTCAATACAATTAAATAAACACTTGCTCCAGCATTTTTCGAAATTCATTCCATAAGGGGGTAAATCAGGGGATGAAAATTTGTATGAAACCTACCTTTTTAGAAGATATTTTGTATTTTTAACCCGAGCGAAGCCCCGGGTTTTGTCAGTATTGAGTGTAAATATAAATTCTTTGCATGGTTGATACCAATAACACAGCGACATTCCGTAGCGTGATTTCCGTTTATTTTAGAATTTTTCTAAGAAGTCGTTCCTCAATAAAGCAGCAGAAAATTTTATTAAATTATTGAAGCAAGGGGGAGAAAAGGTATTTGATAAAATATAATAACTTTGTAACATGATAAAATTGTTAAAGATATTTAAATCAACGTCTTGTCTGCCAGCACGTACTTATAAAGCTTATAAAAGCGTGGTGGACTAAAGCCTTATCTTATTTAGGGAAGACTTGAGCCGAGAATGAGATATCTTTATCATATTCTATACTAGCGATTCATCCTCGCTCCCCTCGGGTTCCAAAATCCTTCCAGTGGTTTTCCCGTGATGCGATCACAGACAGAAAGACAAACAGACGGACAAAAATTCTAAAAACTATATGTAGATTCGGCCTCTGTGAAGTCTGTGCGGAAAGAAAACCGTCATAAGATTTGAGGGCGCAGCATTCTTTAATTACCGTATTTGTTATGTTGACAACACTATAGTGCGACTGTCATATCTTGATACTTTGAAACTATGTTAGAATATTATGTTTTCAGATTCCGTCTTAATAATTGTTTCAAGGAATGATTTTAATGATAACTGTTAAAGATATTTCTGAATGGGTGTCATGTGCATTTTAAATCAATTTTTTAAGTAGTGTTACGCTCAATGAGTTCGGGGATCGGAAATAAAGGACGTATTCTGTACTACACTGGTTTTAATGCTTTCGCTTAAGAATAGTGATTTATGACCATTCATAAACACACGCACGTCTTCCTTTACGTTTTTTCCCTGGCGTGCACCATATTCCGTTATTTATGGAACTTTCTTTTTTTATTTTAGATACTGTATCATTACTCAATCCTGAAAAAGAAAAAAAAATATTTTAAGTTAAGACTAACTTTAATAACTTGCTTAGACAAGCGCATTATAAATTAAAAGTATCAACACTCTTTATACCTGCCATCAAAAATATTGATTGGAACAAAAAAAAACAAATATTATCATATTTCTAAATGAATTCCTTTTAATTTATACATATTTTGAGATCTCAGGGAATGCAGGTTACTTAGGAAATCTATAAACATTCAAATAAAACTGTTACATACCGGACATATCTGCCACACGTTCCGCGACTTTATTTAGCTAAATAATGGTGTGTTTTGCTGCTTTTTCTCTTTAGCAGAATTGTATAGTATTAAATATTATTTCCCTTGTCGAACTGTGTAAAGTTTTACCCATTTTCGAAATGATTTAAAATAAAAATCACAATAAAACAACACAATAAACACGAAATATAGTTTCAACTTTCAAGTTTGACATTTGACAGAAGGCTAGATTCTGTAGCCATATAAAAATCATAATGTTAGTTCCATTTTATGCTACGACGATTTTCTTTCCGCATAGACTCTATCAATAATAATGTCGATTTCAAAAAAGATTTTCCAAAAAATATTTAATGTACAGATTCGGTTTAGTTACAATTTTATTATATGTATGTATAGATGATCTTTAGCCATTTCTTCATTTTTACAGATGATATTTTGGATATGGATAGTCGTACTGCTAGCAGCGCTAGTTTTGTACATCCGCAAATCTTACTCCAGGTTCAGTGACCATGGGGTGAAGCATCCCAAGACGGTGCCTTTCTTCGGTAATATGCTAAGTATCGTTCTTCGGCAAATTCATATCGCTGACCAATTGGAAATGATGTACGACACATACAAAGAAGAAAGGTAATATTTAAAATATACTGCTTTTATTTATCTGTACTAATGATATATAGGCGCAGAGTTTGTTTGAACTCACTAATCTCAAGAAATAGTAATGCGATTTGAAAAATTCTTTTTGTATTCGATAGCCCATTAATTGAGGAAGACTGTAGGCTATATATCATACAATATAGTCAATCTATTCCATACCAACCGTTTAAAAACCGCTAGTACGTATATAAAAGAGCAATAACCAATCAATCAGCTTGTATTTCATTAAAAAAATTATGGTGTAAGATAGTGAAACCACGTGATTTATAAACTGTAAACTATAAAGAATGAATAAGCACATATTTACAAACAAACGCCAAAAGAAGTATAATTTCTATAATAAGATAAAAGATAATAAAATACCTAATACATGAGATATACAGACTGAACCTATTGGGCACATACTATTGCTCTACATATCTCTGAAACAAAAACAAGTGAAAAAGACATGTTTCTTCAATTATATATTTTCTCATATGTATGTCTATAAGTAACACTCGCTTTCAGGTTCGTGGGCAGATACGAGTTTTCCAAACCTACAATACTTGTACGTGACATTGAATTGGTGAAGAAAATAACAATCAAGGACTTTGAATATTTCATAGATCACAGAGGTTTTACCGATGAAAAAGTTGAGCCTCTGTTCGCTAGGAATTTATTCTCTTTAAAAGGTAATATTAACCCAGCAGTATGTGAACTTATTTATATAATATCCAGTCTTTAAAATCGTTTTATTTTGATTTTGATAGTCAATTCTTTGTTTTAATTCAATTCAATTTATTTGTTTAGTAGCTCTTCTTTGTTTTAAAGTTTAAGTTCAGAAACATGAAATTTTTATATAGAATTAAAGCAATGTTTTACTATGGTCAATTTAATAAATGGAATCTTAGATTTTACAATTTTACTAGTGAACCCGGTAGGAGAATATTATCCAGCCAGATTTCGTTAAATTGAAAAAAAAAAACATTTTAGGTCTCGGCAATAATGCCACTGGGTTCAATTATACTATAAATGATCCAAATGAACCTAGAGGCACACAAAAAAAACGAGAAAATCGATTAAGCCGTTTAGAAGCAGAAGAATTACGTTCACGAGCCTACCGGAATTTTGCGTAGTTTATATTAAGATTTTTCTTTTTTCTTTTTCCTTTCTTTATTTAAGTTAAAATATAGTTTTTATGTTATTTTGATTATCGTTATAATATTTACGTAATTATCTTAAGAGATATATTTATTTTCTATAAAATTATGGCACATAGGTGAAGAATGGAAAGACATGAGATCAACTTTAAGTCCAGCTTTCACAAGCTCCAAAATAAAGCTGATGGTGCCGTTCATGGAGGAAGCTGGAGACCAAATGATTAGAGCTTTGAAGAAAAAAATTAATGAATCTAAGAGTAAGTAATAAAACAAGCTATTTATTAGTTTAGCATGGATCATTAAATGTAAATTAAAAATTTACTTGAAAATATTGGTAAAAGGAAAACTGAGGTATTACTGGATTATTTTCGTCTGTGTTAGAAGAATAGAACAGTAAATTCGTTTAATATATATGCATTACATACAATAACATCGAACGTAGTATAAATAATATTTGCAATTAAAAAATATGACATAGCTTTTATAAAGGTTATTTAAGTTCACAGCATAAGCAACAACAATCAGGTTTGATTTCATGGAAACAGAAACCAGTATGTAATCAATCTTAATTCACGTTATTTTCTTACAAATTATATGTAATAAAATATTCTAAGGTTATAAATGAATGAATCCATTACGCAGAAATATAATAACTTTTGATTGTTATTAGAGATTTAACAAAACGTTGAAATTAAAATGAACACAATAGAAACAATCTAAGATTTGATAATTTCGTTTTTAAGGGATACATTTTGAAACTAATGGTGATTTTTTTAACCAAAACACCATCGTAAACTTATTTAATACTAACGACTCTCCCTCGCTTCGCTTGGATTCGTCCATAGGTACGATTAAACGGTTAGTATGGAATAGGTAGACTATATACTATTATATGTACATAGGTATGATGAGTCAGCAGGAACAATTTGCGATCCCAAGTTCCATATGAAATTTAAAAAATTAAAAGGACACTAGACACTCATCATCTATAAGGACATCTATAAGACGATCATAAGACCTGCCATCCTGTACGTATCCGAAAGTTGGCCTACAAAGAGAACGAATGAGAGACGCCTGCACGTATCTGAAATGCGAGCGAATGTTGAGATGGATGTGTGGTGTGACTTGGATGGACAAGGTGAGAAATGAGTATATTAGAGGGAGCCTGAAAGTAGCATCAGTGGATGAGAAGTTAAAGAGCAATAAAAATAAATGAGAAAAGTGTGATGAAAAGAGTTTTATGTATGAAAGTTGACGGGGACAAGAGTAGAGGACGACCAAAGAAAATATGGATGGAATCTATGGAAGAGAAGAGAAGAGAATATGACTAGAAAGGGAGTAAGCAGGGAAATGACGAATGATAGACTAGAATGGAAGAATAAAACATATTGCGCTGACCCCAAATACAACTGGAACAAGGGTAGACTGATGATGATAATGTATTCAAATACCGCTTTCTGGACAATAGCTTTAAAAACTTCATCCAATAATGACATTTGTAATTCAATTACCGTTTTTTATAATTGACATGATTAAAGTATCCCACATACATAGATAAATATTTTCATACAAATTACATAATTATGTAGGAGTTGAGATCTATTTTGACCAGATTAATTCATTTTAACTCGATACATTCTGCGCAATCCATACCCTATCATAATTTGTCAATGTGGTGATCAGAAATATTTATAAGCCTATATACACAGAATACAATTTCCTACAATATAAGTTATAGGAATGACTGTGTTGCTAATAAATAAATAAACACACAAACAAACAAACAAACAAACAAACAAACGAACGAACTAACAAGTATAAATTATACCTAAATTATTTTCAGCCGGTTATATAGACGTGGATTGCAAGGACCTGACGTCGCGGTACGCCAACGACGTGATCGCGTCCTGCGCGTTCGGCCTCAAAGTGGACTCTCATAGTGACGAAAACAATCAGTTCTATGAAATGGGAAAAACTGCCGCCACCTTCAAGTTCCGTCAGATGTTGCTATTCTTCGCACTTTCTGCTTTTCCTAGTCTTGCGAGGGTAAGTGAATATATAATAAACGAATGATTAATACGTTATTATTAAAACTATTGTATAGTTATAGTTGTTCTTTCTAGTAAAGGATGGTTGTTAGATTTATGGAATTGATCTTAAATTGGCTACTCACAGGAAGCTATAGTATTCCTGAGTAAGATAAGTAGGATATTTTTATACGTAGATAACTAGTTATTCATTAGTATAAAATATATAAACTATAAATAAATAGGGCCTAAGAATAGATCATAGAAGAACATAAATCTACAGCGCTGGATTTGACACTCGGAGCTAGTGTCAAATTTTAAAGGGCAAATTTTAAGGGCGCCAAATTCGGAGGGTGGGAAATAAAAAATCTCTTCGGGTTATCGAAGATGTTTTTTTTTATTTTCCACAAAATTAAAGGTTAAAAAAAATAAATAGTGCATTTTTCGAAAAATTGAAATCATTTATAATTTTTTTTTGCATTTTTCAAAAAAAAACTAAAATTTAAAAAAAATAAACTTTATCAAAATTTTACCTATTCGATAATTGGGTGGCATTTTTTACTATGCCCAGGGGCGGCGGTAAGGTTGAATCCGGCCTTGCCCATCTAGGACAACTGCAATTATCTTATTGATGTGTGAAATGCCTTATTAATATATATAATATGTATGTCGAAGAATTGCTCATTTCATAAATCTTTGGTGAAACAGAACATATTCACTCCCCACAGGTTTTATTATTAAAAAATATAGTTTTTTTTAAGTTTTACTCATACATAAAAAACTTAAATTAGTTTTATCTTATGGGACCATTATTTTTTCATGTTAAAGAAAAAGCAACACACAAACAGATAAATACCTATATAGTGTATATTGTATTAACCCATTCATTTTATTAGGTGCTTTCCACAAATTTATAATTGAATACCAGGATACCGATTACCAATTAACTAAATTATTTTACTGTAAAGTTTCAATATGTCTTCAGTTCGGAAGATGGGATACTAGCGGCTCATTTGCTTGAAAAACAAAAAATCTGTCCCACGGGAACCGGATATAAAGACCCGTTCTGGTGTGATTGAGTAACAAATATCCATCTAAATGTCTAAACTTTGAACTTTCATATTTATAATAACTAGTAAGACGAGTAAGATTCATATTATAAATTAAATTTAGTTAACAATTTTGATGAGTAGTTGAGTATTTTAGTAATAAATAGGTAAATGGTAATGATATTTTTAATTTAAGTACTATCCTTTTTATTTTTGTTACCTACTTTTAATGTCTTGATATCAGCCAAATTCAATAACAGATTGAATAAAATACACATTAATTATTGCTAATTTTAAAAAAACACCGCATCATTAAAAATGAATTATCTCAATCACTTCTCTCTTCTTGTAAGTTCCGTCTGCATATTGGTAGCAAAAAATATCCGTTTTCTTATCAGACCTCTGTAATAACATACTTTTGTATTGTGAGAACATTAAATTGTTGAAAAAAATTCAACACATCACCTATAACTTCAGCTTTATATGTGTAATAATAATACTCGTATTAAATAATATGTAGATATGTTAATTTTTTGAACTAGCATTATATTCTCCAACAAACTTGCTAAACAAAATTATTGAATATGTTAGGTTTTTATTTAACAGCCATGTCGTCTATATACACTAGTAAAGTAGTATACTAGAAGTTCTAAATTATGATAATATTTTTTTCATTATACTCGTACATGAAACAATAAAGCAGATTTCGAAACTACAAAGCAAAAACTTTAGTCATAGTAATATTATTATTTTTATTTAATCTACGAAAGCTTTATAAGGAGTTAAGAACAAGGGAAAACTAAAACTTGTTTAAAGTTAACGAAACACTTCTAACATTCAAAATGAGACAGACATACATAACAATATTATTTCTAACAATTATTTCTATAAAGAATCGAGCTTAGGTACTTGATACAAAAGGAATTGTGAGTAATTTATAATTTAACTTCTATTAGGTTTTAAAACACAAAAACAATTTCAAGTACAACTTTGATTTTATCACGTTACAAAGTTCCTTTAAATGTAATGTAAATAATAAAACTATTTTTTGGGCTTTTTCGCGGATTCACTTTGATTTTTGGTTACGAATGCTTTACAGCAATCATGGTCTCTCCATTCTACGTGATATTGGCGAAGTGACACACACACAAGACACTAGTGTGGCACACTTTAAAGCCAATAACAAGAAAATTTAATTGAAGTGAAATAATTTTGGGAACCATATCAGTAAATAAAAGATTGAATACTATCTCTCTTTGCCTTAATATCTATATTTCTTATATATTTTTATAATTATTACTGCAAATAAATTAATGGTATACTATTCTTCAAGAAAGACATGCAATTAATTTTATTTGTATGTTCAACTATTGCGTTTTAATTTAGTCATGATTCTGCGTTTTTTTATCTACAACCGTTACAATGTCATAGATCATTCCAAGGTCACTTCAATATATTATAATTGCACGTAACATGTTCACAGGAAGCGCTACGGAGATATATCGCCTCAGTGCTTATTTGTCCAATGGACCAATTTACTGAAAGAGTTTTTAACACTGGTTATTGAATTTTAAATGTCAATTCTATTGGTATTAAATGCACATTTTACTTTAATATGGATGTAAAGATGTATGTATGTATGTATATCCCATATGTGTATAAATCTTAGAAATAAAGCTTTTTTTAAAATAGAGGGAAAAACTTTCTACCGTAAAGTACTACAATTGGTCGTTTGAACAAACAAACAAACATATACAGTGCTTGTTAATAATAATTGTAATAATATTGGTTCAGAGTTCGACTCAAACACTAATGATTATTTAAACGGTGTCGAATGAAGTATTTTTGTTGTACTAACAATTATTTTGCCGAAAAAAGACCTTGAATAATCATTATAATTTGCTTCCTATAATTTAATGGAATTTGAAACAGTAAGTAATTTTTTAACCATGCCCAAATATTTTTGTATGTTTGTTCAATCTATTTTGTATCAACGTCAATATCGACGTATAATTCCTTTATATTTTTCTTCTTACCCGAGATCAGAGATGTACTTTTTTAAATTAAAAAAATGAGTAAAATATAGTTTTAATAAATCTGGCAGGTTATTTTGTAATTTCAAATCTATTGACGGACAATATTGTTTCCAGATATTCAAGTTAACTTTATTTTCGGACCGCACTAAAGAATTCTTCGTAGAGCTCGTAACAAGCACAATGAAGGACAGAGAAGCAAGAAACATCATCAGACCTGACATGATCCACCTTCTCATGGAGGCTAAGAAAGGTACAAGTAATTTATTTTAATAAAGAGGGTTGTATTGTATTCAGCCCTTTTTAACGTCCCACGCTAATGCTGGGCACGGGCCTCGCTTTAGTACGAGGGGGGTCAGGCCATAGACCATTACGTTGGCCAAGTGCGGATTGGTGCACTTCACATGTCCTTTGAAAACTTGCTAGGTTCTCTCAGACATTCAGGTTTGATCATGATATTTTCCTTCACCGTAAGGCAAGTGGTAATCATGTTACTCTTACAAATGATTCGAACATGAAAACATCAGAAGTGCGAGACCCGGGATTTGAACCCGCTTCACTCGATTTCCCAAGCGAGCGCGTTACCACTGGGCTACCACTGCTTTTTACAAAATCCCTTGAGTTTTGTGCAATTTTGGAATAGAATACTTTCCCATGGATTTAACATAAAAATTTTCAATAATCTGCAACCCAAAATATATCTCCGTCCGTGACTACGTAAAAGAAGAGCACAATAACACCCATTTGTAAAAGTTATGTTAAGTTTTTTTCTATAAAAAAATCTAACAGATTTTGTTTTTTTTTATTTTGATTATGATTTGTTTGTTTGATAGGGCGAATCTCTGGAAAATAAGATATGATTTAAGTTATCTAAAAAGTATTATTATCTATACACTATTATATGATTAAATTTAACATAACAACTTTTAGAAGCGTAGCAATTTTACATAAACAAAAGCGTGAACAAAATAGCGGGCAATATCTAGTATATCTGATATCATTTTAAAAAAATTGAAGTCCAGTAATTTGATCTGGGCATACATAATATGTCATTAAGTAATTTTGGTCTACACTAATACACCTACGTCTTTCCCACGGACATTAGGTACCTCGAATCTAACATATTATATGTATATATATATGTAATATGTATATCTGATGATTTTGGTTGTTTGAACACGTTGATCTCCGAAACTACCTAATCAAAAAACGATTTCAATGATCCTAGTGCATTTTATAGTATATTTATACAGTTGGTTATATATGTCGTGGTCAGATGGTAGAATTGATCATTTTGTGATATGTTCGACCATTTCATGAAATGGTGGGATTTCATGATACAGAACAGTACTACAAGATGTGGTCTGGTCAGATCAATGAATAACTAACTTTTGCGAATATGAACAGCACGAATACCTACTTCATGATAATATGGTCAAACATTAGCGATTATATTGTAAAAAGCAAAGGGCAAAAAACTAAAGAAGTTGCTATATAAAAAACCCATTAAAGGTTATTTTTGTTTGTCCTCTAAAACTGATAAAGTTTGAGTTGGACTCGCGTTGTAGGTTTGAATTGCTATTCAACATACAAAGATATTTAGGTTGTTTTCCAATACAAATATTGCATGGTCGTTATGTAAATATTACAAAAATCATGATATTTTTTTATTACTCTAAACTTATCCACGCATATTTACAGTGCCAAAGTTTGAAAATTTTAGTTAAAACATTTCGAATGTAGTTTATTCCGCTTACTTTCATAATTCCCAACTTACTAATTACACAAATATACAAGTTAACTAAATGTACCATAGACATAATATATTAGTTTTAGATTTAAAATCGAGTTTAAATATGTGTTGCGACATAAACACACGGCACCATCTAGTTCCATGGTAAGCTACGAGGCTTGTGTTATGGATACCAGTACCACTGGGTTGCTCCTGGTACTTCTCTGATAGCAGAGTGGACCTTGGAGCAAACCCACGGTTGTTGTGGTCTGCGTTTTGCCGGTGAGTCTCACACCTCGTGCGTAAATGCATTTCCCAACGTTAAAAAAAGGTAGTTGATGCACTACACACATATAACTTTAAATACATATATATGATAAATATCCCTCATCACACAAATTAATGCCCCTAGCGGGACTCGAACCCGCAACCGCTGGCACAGTAAGTAGTGTCAGTACAAACTGAGCCAAACGTGTCGTCATATTTATAAAATTGTTTTTATTTGTGTAGCATTACAGTAATAAGTGTATACTTGTTATATTATAACGATCTAGATAATTGAAAAGATCAGTGAATATGTTATTTCGATGTATCCTTTTAAGAAATATATTATTTTCAACTAGCGACTCATCCTCGCTACGCTCGGGTTCGTCCCTAGGAACGTTTTAATTTTTTTGAACGGAACCCTAATTCTTTTTCTAACATAAAAGTAGCCTAAGTTACTTATTATAACATCAGCTATCTTTCAGTGAAAGTCCCGTCAAAATCAGTTCAGCCGTTTCAGAGATTATCCGGAATAAACAGAGCGACAGACAAATATTTTAAAAATTTTGTTTTTTTAAAAGCACCGTGTATAATTTCATATGCGTTTAGTAAAACGCTGTTATTTTGACATAACAAGCAGACACTTTTTTTTATCTGTATAGATATAGATTTTTTTCTCTGTATTAAAACTTTCCGTGTACCTTAAGAAACATACGAAAAAAATATATTAGCTAAATTGGTCGAGCCGGTCTCGAGTTTTACGCTTCGCAACATTCATTTTTATTTATATAGATTTTTCCTTAGAATTAGACTTGTTGTAATTTTGTTGTCAAATGCAAAACAAATATACATAAGCAGTAATATTTTGTTACTAGTGGCTAGTATAGTAAATAGATACCTACACGATCTGTGCTTGTGGTAATCCTTGCTTCGGTCAGACGCGTCCCTGGAAGGGCTTTTCCGGCTTTAGTCGCAAATAAAATTATATAGGTAGTATAAATTATGGAATATAATCCCTATTCCCCTATTTCTTTTGGTGAAAAACATGCATTAGTTTCTAATATTAGCCTGAACAGACATAATCTTAGCGCGGTGGAGGATCTTCACAACCGGCTTAAGCAAAGAACAAAGTTTAAGTAAAGAAATTTTTTAAACTTCAATAATATTTTAAAAAGTCTTTTTGTCATATTTAAGTGCATGATTATTATTATTTACAATTTTATTTTTTACTAGCGGTTGCTACCTCATAAAAACTTTCTTCCCCATTTTCACCACTTTAAGCCATGATTTCCGGAATAAAAACCTATCTCGGTTTCAAACTATCTTCTTACCAAATTTCATCTAAATCGGTTCAGTAGTTTCGGAGCTTATTCGGTATAAACAAACACACAAACAAAAAAATCTTTCCTCTTTATAATATTAGTATAGATTAACTGCACTTTTTAGTCCATTATAATACCTACACTATTTCTCACTTCCATGGGTTGGCTGGAAGAGTTTCTTCTAGAGATAAGTCCACGTTTGCCCACATTGGTCTCTGTACTTTGTGTAACAAAGTTAATGTGCAATCCGTATTATAATATTATAAATGTGAATATTTGTGAGTATGGATGTTTGATACTGTTTCACGCCAGAACGGCTAAACGGATCTGGATGAAATTGGGCACAAAGATAGATTATAGTCTGGAATAACACATAGGCTACATTTTATCCAGGAAAAGTGTACTGGTCCTGTGAGATAGGTTTGTTTTTGTCTTCCTAGAGGCGAACCCGAGCGAAGCGAGGGTGAGCCGCTAGTAAAGAATATATTATTGAGTATTGCTTAAGAAGTTAAATATATATCATATAATTACAACAACGTATTTTCAACAGGACGACTGGGACATGAAGAAAAATCAGGAAACGATGTTCAAGATACAGGATTCGCTACTGTTGAAGAATCTTCCGTCGGCAGAAAGTCCATTGATCGAGGTTCGTTGAAAAATGGAATTATTTATATCTTTATAATAACTATTTTTACACTCGAATAAAACATTATCGTTAGATACATTATCAATCATTTATAATTATCTTCGGGCTTTATTTTTTCTATCAGCAATCTTTTAAATTGTGATAGTCCCCTAGGTCTTTATCTTTGAACGATGGTTAATATTTACAAGTCCATGTACTTATTTTTAAACTTAATTCATTTTTTTGTACTTTTTTTTTAATTTAATTTTTGTTTTTGTTGTTTTTGACTTTAGTTAATTAACTAAACTAAAGGTTTCAATTTCAATCCTTGGGGGCCAATGGTTATATTGATGGCTTAAACTTAAGCAGGATTAGTTAAATAAAAACATTTTTAATCAATATATGTAAATATACAATGAAGAAGCATTATATATAAACTAATAACTTTAGAACTGTTGGTGTGAACAAAAATCAAGCCATAAAAATAAAAAAAAACCATATTGCATTATACTCTGAATAGAGTATTATGCAGTCGAAAACATACATAATATGTATATCTCGCGGCGAGGATGAAACGTGACGATATATTTTTTATTGACAGCTTTTCAGTTTTGCTAATTAGACATTTGAAGTAATATTTAGCAATTTTTTGTCCTAAATTACTTTTAGACATATAAGTTGTATTTATTTTGATAAACACATTACCTTTGCGCCGCGCAGTCGGGCAAAAAAGTCATAGAGAATTATCGATCTGAATTTAAAAGATCTGTCCAAAAATATCTCACATGCTTATTGTGGACTTAAATAAAATGTTCACCTCTCAGCTACTTGTATGGAGCGCCTATTTCTTATCTCTATTTTGTTTACAATATGACTACAGTCTTGTTCAGCGATTCATCTGAGATACTTATGTGCCTTTCAACAATGCAGCTTGTCATTATACTATTAGTAGTCTTCAAGTAAAATTATAGACATACATGACAATGACAATAACAATGGCATACGGACAGACGGACGTCGAACATGGCGAATTTATAAAGGTTCTATTTAAGGCATTTGGCTACAGAGCCCCAAAAATAAACACTTTAAATTATATAAAGAATAATTTAATATTACAACTACTTTTCGAATAAATGAGTATCAATTATAAATTATTATTAAGATTATATTAGTAATTCGCTTATTATTTATTTTAGTTTGGTCAGATATGGACTTAACCGCTCAAGCAGTGTTGTTCTTTATCGCGGGCTTTGAGACCATATCAACGGCGATGTCTTTCGTATTACACGAGCTAGCTGTACATCCAGACGTACAGGAGCGGTTGGTCGAAGAGATCAAAGAACAGCATATTAAGAACAATGGAAAACTGAATTTCAATGCTATACAGAGCATGACTTACATGGATATGGTGACTTCAGGTAAATTATTAAGACAATTACCTAATTACCTAAATATTAATAAGGTAATTAAATTACCTAACTTTAATATACACATGAAATAAAAAGTGATAATTATATTAGATTTATTCTAATACGTTTGTTATTCTTCTAGAGGTTCTGAGACTTTGGCCTCCGGTTATGGCACTGGATAGAATGTGCGTCAAAGACTACAACATGGGTAAACCAAATAGTAAAGCTACTAAAGATTTCATTGTAAGTATAAACAATTTGCTAAATCTAACATGTTGTGCTGTTTTTTGAAACAAATAATTTTATAGTCATTATTGTTGCTGTAAGAAGCTCGCGTTTAAATATTGATTAGGACCTACTCCAATATTACGTCTCCTTTAACACTTTTTAAATTCTAAGAAATTAATTGTTAACCGAGCCACCTTTGGCTCCGTGTGCTTAGAAAGGTTAAATTATTATACTAGTACTCTGCCCGCGTTTTTACTTGTATCAAAAATTATTGTATTTCCTTTCTTTCAACGTTCTCAGGCAAAAACTTAAAAAATAAAATGTTAAAGCAGCATTAAAGATAAGTTATGCAGGAATGCATTACCGAGATAAAAATAACCTATTTGTTATTCCAAGACACGTTCTTTTTGCGGGTGACAAGTTTTATACAAATCCGATGAATGGTTTACACGTGATTGAAGTAACAAACATTCAAATATCTTTTTAAAAAATTGGATTTTTAATATTAATATGTATTATTATTTTCCATAGATTAGGAAAGGTGAAATTCTGGGATTACCAGCGTGGAATTTCCATCGTGATCCTGAATTCTTCCCCGATCCTCTAAAGTTCGATCCTGAACGCTTCTCAGAGGAGAACAAGCATAAAATTAACCCTATGGCTTATATGCCATTTGGAATTGGTCCTAGAAATTGTATTGGTAAGTCAGTTTTTCAACGATTTATAACTATTGTCAAAATTTATTAAAACTATTGGACCCAAGGTAATGGACAGATCATTTAGTGGCTTCTGAGGCGGAAGCCTTAGAATAGCTACCACATATAGGTAACATTTATAAAACAAAACAAAGAGGTTTTAATTTTGTTAAATAGAGAAGTAATTTATACATCTTATCGTATCAAAAATTTGCTATATTATTCATCACACATAACTGAATTGTGACGTAAACAATTATCCATTCGTAATCTCAATTAATTTATGATTAATGTCTATAAAAATATAAGTTTATTGATATCGATGCTATCAAACTTGTTGTTTTAAAATTCAAAACATTCACCTCAACACAGAACATAAAAGAGAGAGATATGATACTTTCTTAGATGTACGCGAATATTTGACATTTTAATTAAAACTCTCTTTTTTGATTATTTTGCGGATTTATTTTGATTTTTGATTCCCGACCATGATTGCTGTAAAAGATTCGAAACGTCGGGAACCAAAAATCAAAATAAATTCGCGAAATAATCCGAAAAGATAGTTTTATTAGAAGAGAAAGTTATGATTGAATTTGTAAGTTTCAGCAATACGACCCTTAAAAAATATTTTAATATACCTAATATTGCGCTCTTCAACGAATGTTTTTCATGCCAAATCTCAATTAAATTAACGTACGCGGGATACTACAGTATACAGATGAATGCGCGAACATTATTAGTATACTATCTTTTCTCTTATGTGGATGGTTTGATGGAATAAGCTAACTAACTAAGTACGAATACAACTATAATATAAAAAAAATCATAAAAGAAAAAATAAAATAATATATAAATAAAGTAGTCCCAGTAATACGCCGAAAAGGATTCAGAATTTCCCATAACAACTAAGAATAACAAATCAAATCAATAGGCTTTTACAAGCACTTCTGAATCGTCAATATTAGATTTTAAATTTAAATTAAATGTCAGTATGTAAGTCCGTAAGGAATCTACCATCGTACATCGTAGTTCATCGTCTACAGTTTTCTTATACGGCACTTTAATATGGATGGCGAAAATAAAGCCAAGTTTCATAACGTTGTTAATTTTCAGGATCCAGATTTGCTCTCTGCGAGTTGAAGTCACTTGTATACCAGATACTGTTGCATATGGAAATATCTCCGTCCGAGAAAACTTGTATACCTATTAAACTTTCCAAAGAGTCTTTCAACCCAAGAATCGAAGGAGGACATTGGTTAAGATTTAAAATACGCAATCCTTAAAATAATAATATCTTAATTTTTATCAGACTGCGGCGAAGTCCAAACGAGGGTAATATGTTTGACCTGTATGTATGTATGTCCGATTCTATGTTCCCTAGTCCGTTTAGTAATTATAATAAACGGATTAACCGATTTTGTTGATTTATACGTCTTTCGATTCGTCTTAATAACGCGTGTGTCACAGGTGGATCTAAGGCACCGATTTGTGTGTATTGAAAATATATAAGTTTTTTTTAATATATATAACTTATATGTTTAAACGTAATTTAGGATAAGAAATTGTTAAATAAAACTAAGAATGTCTAACTGACGAAAAATTAAAAGTTGTAAATAAAAAAAGAATTATAAAAATAAAAAACCCTATGAATATGCGTGAATATATGCGTAGTAAATATACATGTATAAATATATGCGTAAGATCACAGACACACAATTTGTATTAAAAAATTTTTTTGTTGGATATTTGAAAATAATTCTTAAACAACAATACCTAATATTAATATATCCACGTATAATATTTATCCAAAAAACATTTAAAGTAAAAAAAATGTGATAATTGTAAACATTCATGATTTCATTATTAGTATTTGTTGATTTAAGTCTCTATTTATAAATCTTAATCTAACATATTAGGACTATTTTATTTTAAAATGATGATATTTTTAAAAAAATTAAATAAATGTTAGTGAATGTTTAGGTATTTATTGAACGTTTCGTTATTTATTAAATTGAACATACATTGTTAAAAAAATATAAGATAAAAAAGAATTGTGTATCACATTTATGTACTCGCTTTAAAAAAAAACTTGTTAAAGGGATGAAAAAATAAATTACCAACTATTTGTCGGTCTATCTGTTTGTATGTCCAAATAGATGAAATGAATTGAATAGTATTTAAGAATTTCATAGTATTGTATTTAATTTTTTTTTTAAATAAAATAAATGACATTTTTAAATAAATTGCTTTACTTTAATAATACAATATTTTTATTTAATAAATCAGGACACCATTATTGATGAAATTAATAAAAACTGTAAAGAAATAATCAATTTAATCTTCATTTTCATAAAAATACATACTATTCAGAACTTGACCAAAGCACTTCCGTTCAGCACACATAATTTAATAAACACCATCTAACCGTAGGCAAAGCATAGACATTCGAGTGTAGTGTCTTGGTGAAGTAGTGCGTATTTAATACTTTATTAAAACGCGAATATTTGATATTTTAAAATAAAACTATCCTTTCGGATTTTCACATTTCATATTTTTAAGGCGATGGTAAGTTATGAAAATTGTTTTATTATAATGAAATAAATGTAGTGAAAAGTGTGTAAAGTGCGAATTTTTGTGCAAAACACGAAAGAGGGTGTTCAATATTTTGGTAATCTTAACCTACATAGTCTGACCTACACTTTTAAGATATTTTTAGGGTTTAATTTGCTAGTTTTTTCGTCTGATGATGTTAGATCTAATAGGAGCTCATCGTACTATATTCATAAAAAGTTTCAATTCACATAGGTTGAAAGGTCACCAGACTTAAATCTTCAGGGTTCTTTGTTTGATCTTTCTTGATATCTATCAATAAATATAAATATATAAGCTTATAAAAACTTTTGCTGTTACCTAGTGTTAATCATTAGTATCTAGAATAATAATTAGAGCTCCAACACCTAACTAAGTGCGCCCGGCAAGGAATATTACCATAATAAAAACTTAAAATAATACCGACTTCCAGGCACTGAAATGTAAAAAATAACTAAAAAAAACTGCGGTTTTCATTTAGAATAGATACCTAATCAGATATTTTCGAAGTCGGTGCCAGCCGATGCAAGGTAAATCTAATATATTTCGATACGTAAAATACATATTTAAATATTAGATATTCATATTTTAAAATATTGTCGGCTGGCACCGACTTCGAAATTATATGTTTTTGGGTATCTATTCTAAATGAAAACCTCCGTTTAGTTATTTTTACATTTTAGTGCCTGGAAGTCGTTTTTTTTTATGTTTATATTTTTCCATTTTTGGTGTAGACGTAATAAGCAGGTAAGTTGTAAGAAGAATATTTTTTAATATATTAGATTAAACAATTTATTTAAAAAATATATTTATTGTAGATTTTTTAAACCGACCGATTTCGATAAAATTTATATGGGATCACCTGGTAAGGGTATACCACCCTTTTAAACAAAAAATCCAAATTGGTTCAGGCGTCTCCAGTAATCTATGAACATACATAAAAAAAAAAGATTCCGACGAATTGAGAACCTCCTCCTTTTTGGAAGTCGGTTAAAAATGAAGTAGTATAGAATAAGCTCTGTTTTATTTTCATGTAGTTTAATTCATATATACGTCATATTAGGTCCATAACCAACCCATAACCCATTACGGTTACGTCTTCATGTAGATTAACTAAAGCAATGCTACTGTCTAGATTTCTTTATTTTCCCACAGATATTACAAATATGGATAGCTGTGCTTATAGCAGTGATATGGCTATATTTACATCGAATATACTCCAGATTCAGCGACTATGGAGTGAAACATATGAGAGTGATACCCTTATTTGGTAACATGATGAAAGTAATTTTTCGCCGAGTTCATTATACTGCTGATATGGAGAGAATTTACCATTCATTTCCTAATGAAAGGTTTGTTTTAAGAATTTTACGCTGCGCCTCTGGTCTGGATGCAAAGTAGCTTGCCCGACATCATTTAATTCCAACTTTAAGACTATACCTACTGAGTTAAGGGTATATACATACTACAATTTTAAAAAGTGCAACCTGAGCACGAATTCTACAAACTTACCTCCAAAAATTTACGAAATTTAACATTAGTCGGCGTAGAAAGCGCATAGATGACGTCCATTCGTGGTATACGTTGCCACGTTTAGAAAATATGAAGGGTACAGGCAAAAAACATGGAATATCACAATATTTTTTGTTTGTTATGTACTGGTAACGAATCTATGTCTATTTTAATATCATTAAAACCACTGGTTATTACAAATACTCAACGGATGTCGCTAAAAATAAGGTTTTATGTATGTCCAAAGCGAAAAGAACTAGGTATGTATGGAAGGGTTTTGAATGCTGGACTTATAAATATAAAACAAATATTAATAAGAACTGTAAAAAATTATATATCACACCAAGCAGTTTTCAATTTACGATGTGTCGAGCTCAGCAGATGTTGTTCCAATAAACGATCTTTATGTAGTTTAGTAATTAATTATTTTATTTGTATTTTTACTATACATGTATTTACTATCTAATATTGTATTATTTTCTAATAACGGATTATAGAAATAAATAAAAAGTTTAGGATTAAGAAGGAAGACCAATATTATTTTAATGAAATTTTTTTTTATTCATTAAGTTCAGAAATATTACATTTGTTGTCCTCATGTGAAAACTGAGATATATTTGAATGCCTATGAGAACTATACACGATAATGCAGCCGGGGACAAAGAAAACGCACGTACTTCGTTGACCGTTTATTTCACAATGACAGTACAAATTAATTACACCTACAATATAATACACATAAATAAATCTACCCTCATACATCACAAAAACGTCACACAATTTCTGTGTAAACCGTTGAGTAAGACTCTAGTAACGTAGGCAAAAAAGCAAGGTACAGTCATAGTGTGTAAACGTCCAAATTTTTGACTTAATTTGAATTATTTGAAAAGACCGTTCTGTTCGCGGTGGTCTTTCTCGTTGGTCTAGTCACTAGTGGATATTATGTACGGTTGCAGATCCTGAGATCCGGAGTTCGAGTCTTTTCTCAAAATATAGTTACAAATTTTTCTCACGATAGTCACCTCGAAATTGGGTAGGATTCGAGCTTCATGCGTTTTAAATTCAAACCCCATCGCCTTATTGTGTACTATACCTATTATAAATAAACCTGTCACTTACGTATATGATATTTTAAAGGTTCATAGGAAGATACGAGCTTTTGGCACCAACAATAATTATACGTGATCTTGAATTAGTGAAGAAGATCACAGTCAAAGACTTTGAGTATTTTCAAAACCACAAATCATTTGTCGACGAAAATGTTGAGCCACTAGCTGCAAGAAATTTATTTCTTTTGCAAGGTATATTCAACAATATATACATATTATGTACATATAATATATTATGTTTCACAAATGAATAATTAAATTCTAGGTAAATTTTAGCATGAGTTTTTAATTACAATTTACTTTGGAAAACATTAATGATTTTTACAAAATATTTTCTATTTTTATATATTGTTCTGTATTCAGCCCTTTTTAACGTCCCACTGCTGGGCACGGGCCTCCCTTCAATACGAGGGGAATCAAGCCATAGTCTACCATGCTATATTGTTCTATTATTAGCATATATTTATGACGAACTGTAATTATAAATAAAATTACTTAAAGTGTTTTTCTAAAAATAATTATCGTAGACTTAATAGACAAACAAAGGATACCTTTTGTCGTGCGGAAGGAAAATAGTCCCAGAAGTTCTCTTTTTTCCCTTAAAAAAAGTGAAAATTATTACAATAATACTTCTTCTATTACAATAATACTTCTACTACTACAATAATCTTCATAGATTGAGAATTCGGGTATTTTTCATCTTTACACTTGAACATATCCGTAGATGAAGGAAAATATTGTAATAATCCCCACTCATAAATTAACTTATATAACAAACAGGTCAAGAATGGAAAGATATGAGGTCAACTTTAAGTCCAGCTTTTACAAGTTCTAAGATCAAGTTGATGATGCCGTTTATGGAGGAAGCTGGAGAACAAATGATAAGAGCATTGAAAGAGCAGTTCGCAGCTTCTGATAGTAAGAATAATATTTATCTACATTTTTCTATATTTACTTAACAAATACGTTATCAGACAGAATACACATATACATTACTAGGTTGCTTTCCCATATAAATTTTCACCCCCATTTTTACTCCCTTATGGGATGATTTCCGGTATAAAAACTATTGTGTCTCTGGGTCTTAAACAATCTATTTGCCAAATTTCATCTAAATGTCTTATTCGATACAAAGAAACAAACAAAAAATCATTTTTTTTCCTCTTTATAATATGAGAATAGATAAGAGTTACTTTACTATACATATATTATTTGTAACTTTGCATTGAGATAATGGAACTTCAATGATACCGAATCATTTATGTAAAATATTGTTTAGTCTAAGTAAGTTAAATAATTGTAGCTGGATACATAGACATCGATTGCAAGGATTTGACATCACGTTTCGGTGGCGACGTCATTGCTTCTTGCGCGTTTGGCTTAAAAGTAGATTCTCATGCAGATCCAAACAATCAATTTTTTGAAATGGGTAAAGAAGCATCTGGATTGAAAATGCGACAAATGCTACTATTGTTTGCCCTTTCTGCATATCCTTCAATTGTTAAGGTGAGTTTTAAATACAACTATCGACTTTAACTACTTGTAACCGTCCAGAGACAACAAAAACTTAAATTAACCACCGCATCTAGAGGTTTCTTGGGAAATGAATTTAAGCATATTACCATTATACCTTCATACAGTTGGTTATGTGGAACTCACTGGCTAGAAAAACCAGTACTACCCATTAAAACATTAAAACCCAACAGTTTTCTCTATCTGATGAAGATAATAACTTATCAGTTGTTTCTACAAAAAATGTTTTTGAAGAAAAACACAAGTATGTTTCAAGGTTGAATCAACGCAGCAGGCAAGGCGACGTACCATAATTCTCCCAATTGAATTCAATTTATTTTTGGAGCAATTTATCTTAGGCCACTTTTAATTTAAGTGTTGTTTAGTGTCGATTGAGCTGAAAAACAGTTTATTAAAGCAATATTCTGTATGCACAGTAATAATAAAAGATAAAATTACTTTTGCTATCAAGTATCAACTAATCTCTAATCTATTTAAAAGACGTATTCGTATATATATTTGTTTCAGAAATTAAATTTGTCACTGTTTTCAAAAGACGTTACAAAATTTTTTATGGATATCGTGCTAACAACGATGAAAGATAGGGAAGCACGAAATATCATAAGACCCGACATGATACATTTACTCATGCAAGCTAAAGAAGGCAAGTGACACCAAAATATTTACGAGTTGTTTCCTTTATACATAATACATATACTACATATTATTATGTATATGAAAAAACATTTAAATTTAAGACTATCTTTTAAAATATGTAATTTATCAGACATATAATTGCTCTATATGTGAAGATATAATTATTTAATAAATATTGTTATTATTTATTCTAAATTTTACTCAATTATTTTTGAATCAGGAAAGCTTTCCTATGACGAGAAAGTCGGAAACGATGAACAAGATGCTGGTTTTGCAACTGTCAAAGAATCTTCTATTGGAAGAAAAACAGTTACTAGAGGTTTGTATTTTAGGAGTACAAAATCTTAAAACCATGTTCTTTATCCTTTAAACAAGAACAAAACTATTTCTGAAAAAGTCTGTATTTTTTTATTAAAAATAGCTTTATTTAAAGCCCAAATGTAAATATTTCTTAGTCATTCATTGTTCATAGACACATGTTTGAAGCCAACCAGCCTTGGCTTGGTGACACTAGATTTAATCAAATTATGAGTGTACTTAAAAAACCACTTGAGCTCTTTCAAAGTCCACATCTTTGTTGTTGATGCCAAAATTGAAAAATTACCTACTGTGACACTATTCTCAATTAGCTAATAATTTTTCAGAATGGGCAGATGTTGATCTAATCGCTCAAGCAGTGTTGTTTTTCGTAGCAGGATTTGAATCGGTATCCATTGCAACATCTTTTGCATTATACGAATTAGCCATCCATCCAGATATTCAAGAGCGTTTAGTTAAAGAAATAAAAGACGAACATGTTAGAAATCATGGGAAGTTAGACTTTGGCTCTATACAAAAAATGACTTATTTGGATATGGTGGCTTCTGGTAAGAAGCTGTTTATTAAAAATTATAAATTTTATTGCTATAAAAAAATTAACCAATACACAATATAATATTAGATCACATATGTACTTATAAGTATTTATATTTGTAGAAGTTCTAAGACTATGGCCTCCAGCTATAGCTTTAGACAGGGTTTGTTCAAATGACTACAATTTAGGAAAACCCAATGATCAAGTCACAAAGGATTATATTGTAAGTAAAATAATTGTTTCAGGTAAGGAACACATGCTTTTTATAATACCTATTTCCTAACAGAAACAACCCTCAGCGAAGTTGTATTTATTGATAGCTATACTATATTTATAATTAAATCAAAACAAAATATACCTACCTACTTTATTCAAATAGACTTATACAAGCACTTTTGCATTTATTTAGGTTAGAAAAGGAGAGGTGGTTTGGATACCAGTGAGATGTTTCCATCTGGACCCTAAATATTTTGCGAATCCAAAAATATTTGATCCAGAAAGGTTTTCTGATGTTAATAAACATAATATTAACCCCTTAACTTATATACCCTTCGGATTAGGCCCAAGAAATTGTATTGGTAGGTACAATATATATTCTTTATTGCATATAACAGAGTAACACAGATAATACAGAGATCAATGTGGACAAATGTGGGCAATGTCATCTATGAAAAATTTACAATTATAGTTTTAAGGTCAATGTCAAATTTAAAATTACTATAAAAATGTTTTACATAGATTGAATAATAAGTCATTATCAGCATCGTCTAACAAAAATTACAATTACAACAACAAAATATATACTCGTGTTTACGTTTAAGAAAAGAACATCAGCTAATATTATACATATTACAATTAATTAGCTAATAGAACCAATGATTGGATAACTCTTAGATTAAATATAAAAAAACCAACACAATAACCTATTCATTGAGACCATTTTAATAAGCCTAAACACGATATCTCTTCATTATTTTTGTCAAGAGTTGCGTTGAGTTGTAGATTCAAATGTGACGCTGCAGCATCAGGCCTTGGTTACCAAATCATTACAATGTTATTAAATTCATGGGTTATCAAGTTTTGAATCGATTAGATTTGTAAATGTTGTTCATATCCTTTTACCGTCTAGAAAAGAGTTGATATCCTGCAAAAAGCTGAACGAATTTTCTAGATTTATAGCTAAGAAATAACTCACTCTCAATTAAGTCATGGTTCATTCGTCATAGCAACGCTGCCACAGATAGACACACATTACACTTGTAACTCTACACTAACGTCGGGGGTTAAAAAGAAAGATCACCATATACACATTGGCCACAATACATCAATGAAATGAAAAATATATAATTTTTATGTCCTTTCACTCAGTAAAGGAAAAGTGTGTAATACCCTCATTTAAAACGTTAGTATTAACTCTAAAATGATAAATCGTATAATTGATGATAATTTTATAGGATCGAGATTTGCACTTTGCGAGTTTAAAATGTTGTTGTACAAGATATTACTTCATATTGAAGTGTCTCCTTCGAAGAAAACCCGAATACCCGCAAAAATATCAACAGATTCTTTCAATCCCAGAATGGAAGGAGGGCATTGGCTGAGATTTAAACTAAGAAGTTGAAGATTTTAAACATTAAGCAGACCATATTGACATATTCAGGGAACAATATTGCAACTTAGTAATGTAGAGGGCATCAAATAGGTGCAATATGAGAATTAATTATAATTTTTAAATTATCTAAGTACTAAGTTACAATTCTGTTCCTTGCAGTCATTAAGATACTATAATCAAAGTATTTTTTTTTTGCTTTTGATGTAACCCAATTACTTGTTTGTTAAGGAATAAAATATTTTCGTACTCTTATGTCAATTATATCGTAATTAAATATATTAATGATTATGTGTTATATTGTTACGATGAAATTAAAAAAAACTTTGTTTCTATATTAGAATCTTACACAAATAGTACACATCCTGTGTGGAATTAAGTAAAACTTATTATTTCGATTTTAGCTTCATTAGTATTAACTTATTAATAATTAATTAATTACTCGTAATAAAGGGAGGCCCGTGCCCAGCAGTGGGACGTTAAAAAGGGCTGAATACAATTAATTTAGTCCATATTACTGCTTAATATATTGTAATACTTTCTGTATATTTCACTAATGACCAATTAATTTTTTGCTTATACTTACGTTGGTACATATATATTTATATATATATATATATATATATATATATATATATATATATTATATCTTACAGAAACCAAATTCAATTTTGGCGATGTTATGGTTATATTATAAAAATAAAAGACTAAGATAAGAGGTTGCGATTAAACATGCTCTTTTTCATATTTTTAGGAAAAAATAAAAATACTTGTAATATAGATACAAAGCGTTTTATTTATTGTTTTACTCAATTATATACTTGTACACTATTTTAATAATACACCTTATAGTATAAAAAGTCACCATTAAAATAAGTCAATATGTTACATCTTTTATTTCTCCTACATCCTAAAATGCTAAAATACATTTTTTAAAGTTAAAAATACATAAAACATACATATTATATCATATGTTTATGTTACTGATAAAAACATAATATGTGACATACATATTATATGTTTTTATCAGTAAAACAAAATTTTTATAGGATATATATCAATCAATAGGATACTTTTTACTGCGGAAAAATATCTCATCTCTGAGAAATCTATACTAAACCTTAAAACGTAAGCTGGGACGAACCCGAGCGGAGCCAGGGTAAGTCTCTAGTATCATAATTTTAATGAATACATCGATGAACTTAGTATATTGTACTCGTATTAACTGCGAATTTTAAATTTCAACCAATGCCCACCTTTTAATTTTGGGTTAAACGACTCAGTAGATAGTTTTGCGGGAATACAAGTTCTCTCAGATGGTGTTACTTCAACGTGTAGCAGAATCTGATATAAAAGGGACTTCAATTCACAGAGGGCAAATCTTGAGCCTAAAAAAAGAAACATTTTATATTAAAATCACTACATTAATAGCTTATGTGTTTTTCGTATTTACTCGAACATATCTCGTTATTTTTTTTATATTAGATCAACATAAGAAATGATTCCTATTTTATCTATCTAATCCTAGCAATCTCCCTATCCTGTGCTCATTTATATTAGTCATAGAAAGATCTCAACATGCACAATTACATTGGTATTATCGTTAAAAGCAACAGGTTCAATCATGGCTCGAAACCGGTTTAAAAAACATCTAATTTCGGCAATGTAATGGTTCATTCATCGCTCTTTCATTAACCGGTTAATAAAAACGAACGGCTTAATAAACCGAAATAATAATGGTTAACGGTTATTCTTAGAGAAAGGTTAGACTTAGGGTTTGATACCGAAATAAACCGGTTAATACATTTATAAGTAAGAAGTGTTCATGCATCCTTGTACTAAGCATTTCATCGAAAAATGTAAACGCACAAAAACTCATTTTAATGACTAATTTCGATCATGCATCCTAAATTCATCAAAACCCGTTTTTCCCGTTTTAACCGGTTAAAGAACGTAACCGAAACTTTAAACCGTAAAGACTTTCAGTTTAGTGTCAATGACCAATACTGGCTTAAAAATTGAAAAGGTTTCCGAATCCTGGGTTCAATACCAACACGAGGGTTCTACTTATTGATAATAATAGATCACAGTTTTACCATACGTACAATGTACATTGCTTTCGATAAATAAAACACTCCAATAATAATAGATCAGCTATACACAAGATCCCACTTACCAATACAATTTCGTGGTCCCAAGCCAAAAGGCATGTAGGCCATGGGATTGATTTTGTGTTTATTTTCTTGGGAAAAGCGTTCAGGGTCAAATTTCTGTGGATCTGAGTAGTATTGGGGATCACGGTGGAAACACCACACCGGTATTGCCAGTGCTTCACCTTTCTTTATCTGTAGAATTATAGAAGATTATAACGAATCTTATTTATAACTGTATTGAATTGTTTTTAATGATTATTATATGTATATGGTAAATTATATTTTTTAATTATGTTAGTATCGGAGCACCACAGATATTTTTCCATGTTTTTTTCGGAGTTTCAGTTTTATTTTTGTGATTTTCTTTTTTGTTTTAAATATTTAGCAGATACTTTTGAGTTTAAGCTACTTCGTCTTTTATGTCCGTACTTGCTCCTAAATCTTCTTGGTGAGGGATATGCATATAATATAGTGAGTTACATACATTATGTGTTTTTTTTACTATTATAGCACTATCCATTCCTTCAGATATTTACTTACAATATAGTCCTGAGTAGCTTTGCTGTTTGGTTTGCCCAGGTTATAGTCTTTAACACAGATTCTATCTAAAAACTGTGCAGGCGGCCACATTCTGAGAACTTCTGCAAATGAAAAAAAGATGACACTTATTTCTTACTTATGAATGTAAAATTTTTGCATATTTCAAAATTTTCATCAATTTAATCATTTAGTTTGCATTTGGAATAAATTCCTACTAATTCGATGATAGATAGTGATAGATGTTGTATAATCTCAGGCACTATCTACGAACCTATAAAATAGTATATCTATAATGATAGCCAGAGAGAGGTATTATATATTTTACTGATCTGGTTAAAAGGTGACATAAGGTAGCTGAGCAGTAAAAGATTGGCATAATGTTGGCTAATCATCAGGAGAAAGGAAAGTCATAAAAGAAAGATGGATGAACGTACGGATAAACCGTGCCAAAGAGGATACTCGTATATACGATGCTGAGATAACCGAAAAAGAAGACGACTAATATAACTGACGTACTCACCTGACGTTACCATATCCATGTAAGTCATGCTCTGAATAGCATTAAAATTTAACTTTCCATTATTCTTGCTGTGTTCCTCTTGAATTTCTTTGGCTAGACGTTCTTGTATTTCTGGATTTAGGGCAAGTTCGTGCAATGCAAAGGACATGGCTGTTGCTATGGTATCAAAGCCAGCGATGAAGAATAGCACAGCTTGAGCAGTCAAGTCGCAATCCGACCAAACTAAAAAAACACAGTTTTTCAAAATCATAAAACTTCCATAATTAAGTAAGCTTATAACTTTAGATTTATTATTGCTGGTATCCTACTGTGTGCGCGCGCGCGCGCACGTGTTTATGTGTGTGTGTGTGTGTGTGTGTGCGTGTGCGTGTTCGTGTGCGTGTGCATGTGCGTGTGCATGTGCGTGTGCATGTGCGTGTGCATGTGCATGTGCGTGCACGCGTGCGGGCATGTGTGCGTGCGTGCGTGCGTGCATGCATGTGTATGTCTTGTTTCCTGATTAATTAATTTCTAAAGTAAAAAAATATACAAACCTCTATTATTACTTTTTTTGCCAACAGAAGATTCTTCAACTGTTGCGAATCCTGTATCTTGGAGGTTTTCATTCCCTGTTTTTTCATCGTAAGTTAGTTGTCCTATTTTGAACATAAATCAATTTTAATTAACTTAGCTCTGTTATTACATTCAGTATTAATTGTTTAGAGTATAACATAACATTAAAAAAGGCGCGCGCTTATATTATAACGTGCAATTATAACGAAGGCTATCGCCACTAATAGTCCATTCAAATAAGGTCTGAAAACAAAATTTTGGCACTCAACTTTGCTTTGATGTATGTGCTATAATGTAGTTTTAATGATACAAAAACAATGTGTAAAGGCTTTCATCTCTGCAACCACCGACAAGGGTTGAAAAAAAGTTGTCAAAAGTGTTTTCGCAATTACTCGAGAATTTTGCTACCTACGATTGATAAATGATATATGAATAATGAATTGATCGAAAAATGATAGTAATAATGGCCATTTTTCTATCTCAGTAAAAAAAAAACAAGAAAATGAAAAAAAACCCAGCATTATCAAAAAAAATCATTTACGAAGTCAAAGAGAAGATAAATTTCTTGAAGCGTAATTTTAAATGCGAGCCTTTATCTCGAGTGCCTTATATAAAGATAGATAAGTTGTAAATAGGAAGTACATCAATACACATAATACAACGAGTGAAGTGACAATAATTGTCATGAGTACTAGGGGACCACAAACCTCAAAAATGTACATATATAACACTTATGCTCCCGTGGTATTTGTGTTAACGAGACATAGGGGCCTCTTACTAATAAATAAAAGAGTCGTGATGGTCGAAACATTACACTTTTTCCGCTTAAACCTTATTCGCCAAGTGTGCCGAGTATAATGTGGCATAAGGAACTTCGTTCCAAAAATAGGTAAATGTATAGAAGAAACAGCACAACTCATATTATATATTCAAAAAATTTTGGTGTGCATATATGCGCCACCTTACCCTTTGGTAACCTAACGAGCTACTACCGGTGTTGGAAGCGAGTGAGGAGTTCGTAGGTGATGGATATTCCGTACGTGGCGCGTGACAACGTCATAAACATGTCAGTTAGGTGTAAAATAGTTCATTTTAATTAGATCTTATAAACCAATATAAAAAATAACTGAAAAAAATATGCAAAGATAACATTTTGATGTCGGGAATCATTTGATGATGACCTCCTTCATTCAATACGTTTCTTGCTTGCATATTTCATCATTTAAATAAAATATTCAGTACATGTATTTAATATGTTAAGTATCAAGTATGAGTGTGGATTAATTAAAATAATATACACTAAGTTTATTATAAAGCACTGTATAGACACTTAATTGAGGAACATCTGGTATCATAAGTTACATTAAAATTAATATCAACGATATTAACTTTAATAGTAAATTAACGTTAAAATTAAGCATCGTATTTTTTTACAATTGACAACAATCACAAACTCAGAATAGAGGATGATGTCACTGTCGCAGCTAACTAGCTTAATCAGCGGTTTGATTAGTTGCCTAGCTTTTTAATTAAACGGTGCTGTTTAATTAAAAGGTCGAAATGATATCCAGCCAATGCATCTAATACAACATTTAATGAACGGGCTGGTAGATGCTTAGGCCGTTCATAGAATAGAGCAATTGTGTGACGAAAATATATGAAATATTTAATATTGAGAATTCTTTATTTATATAAAATTATTAAATGAACATACTCCGTTTTTAGCACTTTAGACTACAGCACAGCTTACTCGCAAAAAAAGGTAGGTTAGGTAAAAACTTTGGCCACAACGCACGAGCCGATGAGCGAAGAAAACGTACCGCAGTAATAGCCGGAGAGTGCCATAAACGACTAGAACTTTAAAAAAATGCTTTTCAATCAAATGAACTTAGTATCAATAACTTGGATAGGCAAGTTATTAAACGGTATTGAACTTTTAACCGCTAACTAAACGATGGCATTCAATGAAAAGGCTAGGCCGTTAATCAAACGCCCGATTAAGCTTGGCTACGCTATAACTATTATTAAGAAATGAAGTACACCGTAATATTTTTTGTAAATTTTAGAAAAATACGATTTAATTTTACTGACAAAATACGTCATGTTAATAAAGTATAATAACTCACATTTATACGCTGTATAAATGTTATTATACTGATATAATTATGGCGGATTAGAATAGAAACTGAAATAAATGGAACCGAGGCTACTTTTCATAGATATCCTATCAAAATTAGTAAAACACATACCTTTCTTAGCTTCCATAAGAAGATGAATCATGTCAGGTCTGATGATGTTCCTTGCTTCTCTGTCTTTCATTGTGCGTGTGACAAGATCTAAGAAGAAGTCCTTGGTTTCATTAGTGAATAATGTTAATTTAAATTTCTGAAAAAAATAAAATATATTTTTAAAATTAACGGAATAATACAATTAAAAGAACATAACTATGCCCAATCATGGAATTTGCACTGAAAATGGAACGAATCATCTACTCACCCTCACAAGTGATGGACAAGCAGAAAGAGCAAAAAATATCAACTGCTGGCGAAATTTGAAAGTTGAAGCTAGTTTCCCCATTTCATAGAATTGATTATTTTTTTGTGTATGAGAATCCACTTTGAGTCCAAAAGCACAGGAAGCGATTACATCATTTGCGTAGCGCGTTGTCAAGTCCTTACAGTCCACATCGATGGAACCAGCTATAAATACAAAAACTACTACATCCGATACTTAAATAATAATTAAGTATCAGTTTCCAATTCGTATAGAAAAACTTTAATTAATTTAAAAAGTAAACGTTTTTACTTTGACATGTATATGGATTTTCCAAAAGTAAAAAATTGATTTCATACTGTCAGAATCTTTAATGATCATTTTCAAGTTTCTAATCATTTGATCCCCAGCTTCCTCCATGAACGGCACCATCAGCTTTATCTTGGAGCTTGTAAAAGCTGGACTTAAAGTTGACCTCATGTCTTTCCATTCTTGGCCTATGTAGGAATATTAAAATACATTACTTTAGGACTTTTAAAAGAAAACAATGTTATTTAATTAGAATTTAGCATAAAATTACTACGTTTGAAAACAGTTTTATATGATAGATGATATAAAATCCAGAACAGGAACATAGATAATTTATAATTATTAATCAGAAATGCATACAGTCACTTAGTATTAGGTAGGTATTAATTAGCTGATCCGAAAGACGTTTTCCTGAGCAAATGTCAATAAAATCCTATGATAATTGAGTGTATACAAAAAATCATGTAACAATAATGTAACAATTTAATTTTATTTACATTCATAACAAAACTTTTAATCATTATTCATTATGTACGAGTTTCTTAATATTATAATATTACACACAGCATTCTGTTAGAGGAATTAAAATAAAAACTTTATTTACTTTGGTCAAGTGCGGTCGGATTCACGTACAAACCAAGTCAGGCAAGTCAGGCTCCCAATTATCTACCTTTTACTTAGGTAATAATTAATGTGTATACGTTTACTACCTACCTCTTAAAGAAAATAAATTCCTAGCAAATAGTGGCTCTATTTTTTCATCAGAAAAACCTCTGTGATCTAAAAAGTGTTCAAAGTCCTTGATAGTGACCTTCTTCACCAAGTCAATGTCTCGTATAATAATTATCGGTTTCAGTAGCTCATATCTTCCAGTAAATCTAAAATAAATAAACAATTTTAAGTGACTTCTAGATATATGACGTGACAATTATCTATGAACGGGACGTGAAGTAGTAATAAATAATTATTATTATCACTAATTATTGTAATAATATTATTATTCATATTTCGATGATAAGCGCCGGCTAATACTTTATCATTATCAAACTTATTTTTATTTGTATTCTGGTTTTAATTTTAGTTACTTAGCGGTTCCCGACGCGGCGGCGCTCATCATCAAAATATTAATGGGTACTTTAAATGAAGTTAAAAGGTCAAGAGAGAAATTTTATTTTTTTAACCCATTCCCTTTCATTTGATACCACACTCGGGTAGGTGCATTTAAAAATATTCGATTATTCATTTCCACTTTCTCCCCCATATCTTAAATGGCTGAGCCGATTTTGATAAAATATGTCTAATTGTAATATACACATCATTCGCTTTCATTCGACCACTTACCCAAGTGGGTATATTTGAAAATATTCGATTTTTTATACCCAATTTCATCCCCCATATCTATTAAATGGCTGCACCGATATTAACAAAACACGTCTAAAAACCATCGTGAAGAAACTAGTTTAGAAATGAAAAAAAAAATTCCAAATCGATTCACTTGTTTAAGAGCTACGGCGCACACAGACAGACACACTTAGCGGTCAAACTTATAACACACCTCTTTTTGCATCGGAGGTTAAAAATAGATTAAGAGTAGTTGTTAGTCTTTGATCACTTATGTTTTTTATGTAATGGAAATTGTCAGTAAACATTTTTTTTATTTTACAACTGACTGTCGAATCACCTTTGTTCGCTCGGGTTCGTCCCTAAATACGTTTAACGGTTAGTATAGATTTCTCAGAGATGAGATATTTTCCCGCAATAAAAAGTATCATATATGTTGACCCGGATAACTAGTTATCATCATACCAATCCCCATCAAAATCTATTTAGTAGTTTTCTCGTGATACGTTCCCAGGCAGACAGACAAAAATCAAAAACTATAGATTCGGCCTCTGTATCGATAATAATGACTATTTCAATGAGATCTTCCAAAAAATGCTTAATGTACAGATTTGATTCTTTATTTATTCTCTGTTTATTCTCTATATCTAGGTTTTATTATATGTATATGTATAGATTAAAACCATGAAAACCCGTCTCAATATTTTTTCAGTGAGAATGGCAAAAACTATTTTATCATAAATTACCTCTCTGTAGGAAATGTTTTATATGTTTGATCCAAATCTTCAATGAAATGGCTCATACGAAAGATAACCCTCGACATGTTGCCAAAGAATGGCACCACCGTGAGATGTTTCACCCCATAGTCACTGAACCTGGAATAAGTCTTCCTAAACGATAAAGTAACTATCGCTATCAGTACGGCCGTCCATATCAGCAGCACTATCATCTGCAACAGAAAGAGTACTGCCTTGTACTTCTTTGAATTTGATTGAATAAACTTTAATCTCAAAGATCAGAGTAGCAAATTGATAACGTTCTTGCTTCAAAAGCAATCCATATTTTGATTTTTGCATATTATGTTGTTACTCAAAAATCACGATGTAAATAATATTCAACTACCTACTTGTAATTTTTTCTCATTAAGTGAATGTTATTCTTTTGAGAAATAAAGCATCTTTAATCCAAAAACAAGCGGAAAAAGCGAAGGGGGTTGAAGGAATAATTTTCAAAATGTTCATCACTTATTGATAATGTGAAAGCAAAACTATGAGGAAATCTTTGATTTCAAATGTAACACCAAATATTTTGATTTCCTGAAGATTGCGAAAATTTGTAAAAGTAGCGCTTAGTTTCGTTCTCTTTACGTTACCTCCATGCTATTAGACTTCAAAAGTATCTGAATTCACTTATTTACGGATAGAATGAGAGAGAGTAAGAGATCAAGCTCTCAATAAAATAGAAAATGGTATAAAAACATAATTTTGACTAGGGGAGGCGTATTTACGTAACTAAAGTAATTGTGCCATCTCCGCCGCGGCTCTCACTTTGACGCCATCTTCCTAACACGGGATAGGACCAATGTGCCAACGCATGTAGTATCCCATAATAGGACCCAAAACTTAGGTATATTCTTATGTAAATAATGAAAAATTATTTAATTACTTTATTTTTTGGAGTCGGTATTAAAAAAAGGCAATTTAAAAGAAATTAAAACACCTCAAATAGTCTAGTCGTAATTAAAAATTAAAAAACAATAATTTAGATAAATCTCAGACCAAGTAGATATAACAAAGACACATGTAAACGAAAAGCAAGCAAATAAATAGTGACTTGTTTTGTATAATATGATATAATAGCATTTCAAGGTTTTGTTTACTAACTTTAGCTTACATAACGCATCTAAAGATAAGTAAATAGTAATCAATAGTATAAGTATATTTTAATGATTCACCAGTTAATAATCAATCAGTATTTAACCCATTTGACGACACGTTTGGCTCAGTTTGTAGTGACACTACTTGCTGTGCCAGCGGTCGGGGGTCGAGTTCCGCTGGGGGCATTTATTTGTGTGATGAGCACGTATGTTTGTACTCCAGTCATGGGTGTTTATATTTATAAAATGTATGTATTTAAAAGTTATATATTATGTGTAGTGTATCAACTATCCGGTGTCCATAACACAACCCTCGTAGCTTACCATGGAACTAGATGGCGCCGTGTGTTAATGTCCCATCATATTTATACTTTATAATTTATTTATTTAATTATCATCAGTTTTTAATAGCTTTTTATATAATGGCTTAAAATTCGAAAAAAAGTTAATAATAAAAAAAACAAGCTTCCATTTTGTTCTAAAATTTCATATAAAGATATAATTAATGTTGATAACATCATTTCATTTATAATCTTTTTGTTCGTAAAATAAATAAATTAGAGCATATAAATAAAGCAAATCGTTTACAAACAAGATTTGCACATTCTATTATAAAATGCCATTCTTTATACTTTTACTAAGGCATATTTTACAAAAAAAAAATTAATTAAAATTCATTACAAAAATAACAAAAAATAAAACTTACATTGTATTTTCATTCACAAGTAAATCACCTGTCACTACACAATGGAAAGAAACCTAGTAATAATTAATTTGTAACAAAATATTAGCTTGCGTGTTCTCAGCGTGAGTCGTTTCGCAGAACAATCAATGTATATCTAAGAATACATGTTATAATATGTACACTTATCGCTATAATCCAATATAATATATAAATAATGTTTTATGTTTATCACAAACTATTTGATACGCGTGATTTTGCTCGTAGACATAAAATTATTTATTTCAGCTTCATCCAATATGCAGTACGTTCCTTATTTAACTGCTTCGGTGGTGTAGTGGCTATCATGTACGGCTGCACACCCGGATGTCCTGGGTTGGGCCAAGTTTAGTTATTAAGTCTTTCTGTATAGTAAGCCTCAGTAACAGCCCGAAGTTTGGGAGTTGGCGGTGTTTCGCCCCCGTGCCTCGGAGAGCACGTAAAGCGTCTGATTCGGTTGTCCACCTCATCTCTCACGAGTCGCCTCGAAATATACGAGTATGTACTAATGTTTGCGCGTACGCTTGTGCGTTGTGTGTTTGTGTATCTGCTTCGCAGTTGGTTGAGACTAGTGAGATTAGTCACCATGGCCAAAATCAGTCTGGAAAGCATCATTACAGAATTAAGCAGTTAATCTAACATTTCTAAAAGTACGTACAATTAAGAGGTTACCACATTTTGGGCTCTAGAATGTCTTGGGCTACAGAATGATTTATGTTTATGTACATTTATTTTATAAAACAAAATTGGTAGAGATACTGTTCTCTGCGAATTTTATAATGTATTCAAATCTTAAGCAAAAGATATAAGATATTTACAAAGAACATATTTTTGTGACTTTTGACCTCTGATATCTTATGATACACGCCAGTTTAGAAAATGCCAAAATAAAATTAAAAATATATACAAGTTAATACCAATCACAAGTTTAATTTCTAGTTTACTGAACTATCATATAAAGAAGTTAGGGGTTTTATTCAATTCTTCAGAACATTGAAACTCTTATATCTGGAAAAATAAGCCGTCCCTTATATTTGAAAAAATTACGGCACAGAGACACATGCCTGGTCATAAGAGAGCTCAAGGTCACCCATAGAGCTATAGAGAGAGCTATGCTTAGAATTAACATTCCGAGATCAAATCAGAAATGAGGAGATACGCAGAAAGATCAAAGTCACCGACATAGCCCGGTCGAATCTCGAAGCTTAAGTGGCAGTGGGCGAAGCACATCGCTTGCAGAATGGATAGTCGTTGGGGATAAAGAGATCTCGTGTAGTATGATAAAGAGATCTCACAAGGTGGACCGACGACTTGGTCAAAGTCACTGAAACCACCTGACACCGATGCCACAAAGCCGGCAATCGTGAAAAAAATATTTTACGTCATTTATCATATGTTTATTTAAATCTAAATGGATATTTTTACGTCACCAATCACGAAATCTTAAAGATAAGTAAGTCAACGCACCCTTGCTTCGCTCGGGTTCGTCCCTAGGTACGTTTTAAATTAAAATAGATATAGTAGGTATGTTATCCTTAAGAGATAGATATATGCCATTGCGGACTTTTCTGTAGACCTATATAAAATACACAACTCCGTCACACATTATTTTGTTATATCTCAAAGTGTTTAGGCAGCATTTTCTTTGAAAGCTCCCAGGCGGCTTATTTTTTTCCAACGCCTCCAACAATTTAATATCGTTATATTTTAGCCAATGTATACAAAAACTTAACAAATTATATACTAAATTCTTCCTCTTGAATCACTCTATCTATTAAAAAAACCGCATCAAAATCCGTTGCGTAGTTTTAAAGATCTAAGCATTCATACATAAGGATAGACAGACAGCGGGAAGCGACTTTGTTTTATATTATGTAGTGATAAAACGGTGAAGACGGGTGAGCAAGTCCGTCGGCAATCGAACAGTTGCAAAATTTTATTAAAAAAACATACGGGGTTTATCGACAACGGCAAGCTACGACTTTGTTTCTATTAATTTTGTTTTAGTTACAATTTCTTTTCGTCGTCATTGAATTTATGACATTTTACATTTTTACCAAATTTATAAAGGAATATTATAAAGAAAAATATAGTAGGTTAAAAATAACATAAGTCTAGTGATACAACCATTGATTCCGAGAAGAAGAATAATTCTTTAAGAAATAATCGACAATCCTGCTCTGTGGGTGATAATCTGACTGGTATGAACTGCAATTGTCGTTTGTTGCGAACTAAAATAGCTATTTTACATAACGTACGTCTGTATACCACTTTACAAATAATAATAAATAAGAAAATGGCCGAGTCATTCTACGTTAACATGTTTTAAATTGTTATGAATCGTCTCTTGTTCTATTTTTATTTGTTTTATTTGATGAGCGTTATCACTATTGATACCTAGTATATGAAGATCGCGATTCGAGTTTTTTTCCAATAAAGTGAAGAAAATTGAAGAAGTATTTATCACTCAATGGGTACACAAAGAGTGCTTCAAGGCACTATTGTCTTGTTATTTCTATACTCATGTTGTAAGATATTAAGTATTTTGTTTATTCTAATGACATACGTAGCATATACATTATACATGCATAATATTTATTTACATATTTCTACTCGTATCATAAGATAGACACATGTACTTAGATTTAACACCTCCAGGTAAATTTCTAAGAAATTCATTAAAATTCTAATATTAAACCCCGAAAAAAAAAACTTTAAAATACGATGTGTACATATGTAATATTGTTGGTTTTGCAATATATTTTAGCCAAGTTATGTATGTAGTAATCTACATTTATATATTATTCTTAGTAAAATTATTAAAAAAAAAAATATTTAATAAGCCTTTATTTCTAATTCACACAAAGCAAATCTTTAGCCTAAGAAAAAAGAAAATACATTTTTAATATAAATTTCTTTCCGGTTTCGTTATCTGTTTTACGTATTTTGTTATCTTTTATATTAGTTCAATGTTTAAAAACTAGCTTGACTTTGATTATTAAAGAATATCAAGCCAAAGTAAGAAAGAGATAAGCGATTATAATTAATAGATCAACAAAAAAATCTTTCTCTCTTTAGTTATTTCTAATTAAAAATAGTAATACTAATAATGACCTCTGGACTCCTAATAATAAGAGCCAAGTGCTTGAAATGGTGGAAGTGTTAATCAAAGTGAAATCTAAGAAAGTATTATGGTGGAAGTGCTCAATCTACATAATAACGCTTT